GGTAAATTATAAGGTATCCTACCCTGAAACCATATTCCAACTTTCTGGAGTTCCCTTTAAACCCTATAAACCCTTGAAAGCCCCAGAGTCTCATCACCAGGTGGTCAGCGATGCACTGCAGGTCCACCAAGCTTTGAGGCTGTGCCTCGGGCATGCAACTTGCAGCTAGGGATCAAAAGAGCCCAAAAGCCTTATACATTTAGGGTTTAGGGTTTTAGGGGTTTAGGGGTTTAGGGTTTAGGGCCCTAGGGATCAAAATAGCCCAAAAGCCTTATATATTGTGGTCTTTGGGCCCAAAAGCCCAGATATATGAGTCCTTGGGATCCCTGGGGTTAGCCAAGGGCAAAACTTTAATCTTTGTTTATCCGAATGCTTGAATTTTGGGGGGATCCGCTATGGAAGAAGAGAGGCGAGGTCCACAAGTCTAGGCTTCATCGTGTTTAGGGTTTCGGGTTTGATACTTTGCAGAGCTGCAAATATAGGCGTTATCGGATGCAATAAGGATTTCGTAGACGGAATGTTGGAGAAGGGGCCTGAAGATTTTCTAGCACGCTTTCTCCGCACTTCGCAGACCGAACACGTTGAAAAGACCCCCTTACCCTGTCTAATGACTCAGGCTGCCAGGTCAGGGTTGGCCTCCCTTTGAGTTAAGATTTTAATTTTTGTATTGCAGAAACCAAGAACTCCAAACCTTGAATCAAACCAAAAAAGGATATGCATCATAGGAGGCCAAAAGGGGTTTTAGCCTATGGAGGTTTAGTAGGGATTGGGGTTCCCATAATTCTGTTCATATTAAGGAATCCCGAATCCAGGAATCTTAAACAGCCCTTTTGGCCTCCAATCAATGCACTGCGTTGCACTTTGGCAGGTTTCAAGAAAGCTCAAATGCTGAAGCCTGCGAACCTTCCAAACACGGTGGTACTCCCTCAAGACCTGTTGAACCTTGCAGGCGAGTAGATACCCACAGGCTCCATAGTAGTTCTTTTTGGGGGTTACCTTATAGGATTCTAGAAATGCAACCCAAAAAGGAACTATATACTATGGTGCCTCTAGTTGACCTTTAACAACCAAAATCAAGCCCTCAAAACCGGAAGCTTGTCAACCTTGGACCCCGCATCATTCAAAAAAACCTAACCCCACTTGGAGGGGCAGGGGATTGAGTAAGTAGGTTATAAGTAGAGGTTATAAGTACCCTATATGGAGCTACCCCAATTATAACCCTACTTACTACTTACTAAGTCCCCTGCCCCTCCAAGTAGACCCTAAACCCTAAACCCCGTAGATCCCTTTAAAGAAGGAACCCTGTAGATCCCTTTGAGGATCCCTGTAAGAGCCCTTACTAAGTCCCTTGCCCCTCCAAGTAGACCCTAAACCCTAAACCCCGTAGATCCCTTTAAAGAAGGAACCCTGTAGATCCCTTTGAGGATCCCTGTAAGAGCCCTTACTAAGTCCCCTGCCCCTCCAAGTAAACCCTAAACCCCTGCTTTGAGTTAAGATCTTAACTTTATAATTATTGCAGAAACCAAAATCCCTGAGTCGAGCAAGAAACGGATACCTATAGGGGTCCAAGTAGTCCTTGTTTATGGCTTTTGGTACCCCAAAACGTTGCAAGGTCCTAGAATGGGAGTACTTGGACCCTCTGGGATATGCATCAGAACATTGTCTTTTCGCGGGGTGCGGGGGGGGCTGCGGCACTGCATTGCACTTTGGCATGTTTCAAGAAAGCCCGATAGTGCTGAAGCCTGCAAACCTTCCAAACACGGTTGTACTCCCTCAAGACCTGTTGAACCCTGCAGTCGAGTAGGTACCCATGGGCTCCATAGTAGTTCCTTTTGGGGGATTACCTTGTTGGGTTCTAGATATGAACCCCAAAAAGGAACGACTATGGAGCCTCTAGGTAACCTTTAACAACCAAAATCAGGTCCTCAAAACCGGAAGCCTTCAACCTTCGACCCCAGATCATTCAAAACAGCCAAACCCTACTTGGAGTGTTAGAGGTACCCTAAATGGAACTACCCAATTATACCCCTACGTATAACCTACTTATCAAGTCCCCTGCCCGCCAAGTAGACCCTAAACCCTGCAAACCCTAAACCCCATAGATCCCTTTAAGGAACGCTATAGATCCCGTTAAGGAGCCCTTGAAGAGCTTACTAAAGTCCCCTGCCCCTCCAAGTAAATCCCCTTCTCCCGAAGCCCAGACCCTGGACCCGGTACCCGGACCTTAAAACCCTGGGTAACATTTACATTTTATGGGTACTTAAACCCAAAAAGGAATGCAAGTGTAAATTTTCATTCCTATCCCAATCATGAACAAGTTAAGGCTTCAGCCGGGTTCGTGTAGTTACCGGAACTTAGTTGAAGTCAAAGTTGCCATATTGAATTCGGCACCCATAGATAAATAGCTAAACGATTATGGTCTTCTGAGTTTTAATAACTTGAGCTAACTTCCTTAACATGAACCGAGGACTAAACCGAAACGCACAAACCCAGGAGTCTCACACATCCCTGAATCCCAGGATCGCGCAGGACTACAACCTCCACCGCGGCCTCACCCAGGAAGCGGATTTCGGTGTAAGGGTCCAGGGATGAGGAGGTTTATGAGTTCAGGGTTTCATCGCAGAGATACACACTAAGCCACTAAGCAGGAACTCTTGCTGGCTGCAAAATGGCTGATGCAGATTGAGATCCGAAGGTGAGAAGAGAAGTGAATGGGAAAACCGTGTCCCTAAAGGCACGTGGATAAAACACCCACCCAGGAGTGAGAAGCGGGTTCCTCCTAGACGCCCACTAGGACTGCGATAATGTATTTGCTCATGAAGCCCAAGCCTTGAACTAATTCAGCAATATCCTGTAAGTTTTACAAAGAAGCCCAAGGCAATTGCAGTCCGGAGCGCAATTTCTCGGCAGCTCTCTGATGCGGGTCTTCAGTGTAATTCGCCAAAGATGATTGGCGTCGTGTGCGAACACCATCTCCAGAGATCCTTGCCTGACTGGCACTGGATGCAAGAACGGGGCCCTCCCATGTCTACGTCGCGGCGTTCTACTTTCCATCCTTTAGACGCCTGCTCGACAACAGGGAAGACTACCGAGACGTAGCTTACACTGACCACAGAGCCACTGTTAAGGAACAACATGTGATGCTCAACTCTGATTCCAGTTGGACGGATGGAACAGGTGGCATCCACGTTTCCATGATATTCCACAGCTTTGCCTGGCAATGTGTTCCCACTGCAACGACGTTTTCAAGGTGCCAACCCTGCTTTCTATTTAGGATTCATGAGGTGTGGCCTTGACCTTTAGGGTTTCGGGAACCCATGCCGCCGCCCCCCCACCCTAAGTTTAAACCCTCAAGCGAATCAAAGGCATACAGACCCACATTCGTGATGAAAAACTACCTTAAACTGGTTTCTTTTCAGTGGTAGTACAACTCCAAAGCTCCAGGCCCTAAGCCCCACAATAGACGGGTCTGCATAACAAGTAACAATTTCCGTCATACCAGCCCGCTTTAGTCTCCACATAAACTACCATTTTAGAATCCCCAAAAGCCTTGGGCCCACTATGAAGGCCACCTTCACACAACACTGTAACACCCATAGGCTCCATAGTAGTTCAAGGTTTCTAATATATGAATCCCAAGAAGGAACCACTATGGAGCCTCTAGGCAAACCTTTATAAACCAGTTGAAAGGCCCCTAAACCCTAAACCCTAAACCCTAAACCCTAAACCCTAAAGGGCCTTCTTCTCGTCTAGGCTGCCATAATTGTCCCCGACAGCGCACGCTACCGGCCGCTTTCCAGGCTACAGCTGCCACTGGCTACTCAGAGGCCGTCTGTACAATGAAAGACGTGGATTTGTGGGTTAGGTACTTAGGGTTTGAGGTTAAGGATGGGATGGGGTCGAACTGGGCTTTCAGCATTTAATGGTTGCATGGCCTCAGTCCCTCATGTTCAATTGGATCCTTCCGGGTGTGGGCTGGGTGGGAGTGTTATCGGGTTCGGGTGCATATTCCCTTCGGTCCTCAATCCACCGAAGCCCTAAACCCTGAATCCCTCGACCCCTAAAGGTCCGGCACTTCACGCAGCCGAATCTAGGGTTTAGGGTTTAGGGTATTGTGAAGATGCAGAAGGTCCCTCCGGATTGCTGCTGGCAGGAATGGTTTGACCCTCACGAGGGAATAATGGTTTTGATCGGGAGTCACGCTACGAACAACCACTTGAGGCTGGTCCCTCAACACAGGCTGTGAGTGACCCGAGCCGTCAGTGTCCTTGGTCCTTCAATTCACAGCCAGCATCCCTAAACCCATCACCACCTAAGCCCTAAACCCTGAATCCCAAAAGCTCTGAAACCCTTAAATATCCGCAAACCCTGAATCTCTAAACCCCTACCTAGACAAACCTGAACCGCGTAATTTGTCGGTTACAAAAAATAACCAGGTTATCATACATAGAACCGGGGTTTTAAACATTTGCCAAAAATAACCGGGTTTTGACTTTAATGAGATTCAAGTTCAACAACATCAAATGCACCCAATGCAGACATCGTGACTTGTGTTTAGCTATCAGAAGCTCCAGAATCCCACCTTTCGGCTGAACAACTGTGAGATTTACTATTGTAGTTCGATCGAAGGCTTAATAAGTGATAAGGTTTGGGGAATTACAGGGTATATAGGCGACTTCTGCGAACCATTCGCAGAGTTTTGGGCTGCAGACTCTACCACAGCAATCTCTGAAACTATCCCAAAAAACCTTCCACCCGAAGCCTTCAACACTGATTGTATAACAACCTTAACACCCGAAGCCCTCAACGTTGATTATATAAGCACCTTATATAGCCCACCCTAAACCCTCAACACCCTCGAAGCTCACCACCGAATCTTTTGCATGCCTCCGGACATCCTGGAGCTGCTGCTGCCCTCGCAATGCGAGGGACTCAGAACACGGTTTGTGCGTACGAAACAGCTACTTTGGTACTTCTCGATTTGTGCCGTCGCCCAAAAACTACTTCTCCATTTGTGCGCTGTCATCCACCAAATATCCGGCTGCGATGTACTTCGAATAAGCAAGCTGCAGGTGGCGTTGCGCAACACGCAAAGTGCAGGTAGTCGGATGAACTCGGCGGCTCGCACGAGAGTTGCGTCCTACGTAATCTTCACAAAGCTGGACGCTGAAGCACAGCGGATTGAGCACAAGAGAAAAGCGTCGAGAAGCCAACACTAAGTCTTGTAGGCAAATATGCTGAAGGCAGTGCATCTTCGGAAGAATTAAAAACAAACACCTGCCTTGTCGAGCGGCCTCCCCTGCACAAAAAGAATATCGGCGCAGAAACAGCAGTCCGTACTCTCCCAAAGTATAGGCCTGCTCGCTGGTCAAAAACACATCAGCCTCGTAGAGCCCAGTGAGAAATTTGTTCAAGGCCTGCACAGCCTCACTGCATTTCATCAGAAGCACATCTTGAAAAGTTTTGTCCTTCGTCACATCCTCGATGTACTCGCAGAGGGTCGTGGAAAGCGAGGCTTTGTACCATGAGCCCACGGGATAATCAGCATTCGTATCCCACAATATAGACTCCTTTGTCAGTTTGGTCAGCAAAGGTTGACGCCCCGAGTTCTTGCACCATTCCATGAAGTTGTTTGACACTTGTTCCATGCGTGCATCTTTGCCTCTGCCTGGGAAAGTCAGGCTGAGTAAAGCCAATCCCGAACCAACCAAAGCCTTGCATATGCCCAAATGGCATGTGTGAAAAACATCATACTTGAACAGCGTGGCCGCTTGGCCCGGCATGTGTGGCAAGGTTGCCAGGGGTGTTCGCGCATCCAGAAACGGATCCTGCACACAAAACGTTTGCAGCCAGCCTGGGCTTCGAGTCTGAAACGTTTCAAACGGCTGGTCTTTCTGTCCTGCTTGGCACAGATGGCAAATGCCTTCAGGATGCTTTGCTTGTTTGGCGGTATTCTTCACAACGTGGTTGTAGCTGCGGGCAAGTTTGCCCGCTTTCACCAGCCATTGCCAGTCCCCCACCACGGCCAATACAATGGCAAAGTATCTCTTGCCTGTCCTCTTGTCCACCAGACCCTCGTGGAGCATGACATCGTTGTCACGCTTGCAACATCGAAGCAGCCTGTCGAAGGCACTCTCCTCCTCGTAAGCTTTCTTTGGCCATCCAGCCTGGGCTTTAATGATTTGAGTTCTGAAAAACAACAGTTCAGGGGAGCTTTGTTTATACAGGTTAGATTGGTTCGTTGGGATCTGTATACAGCTAAAAACAACATCATGTGACCCATTCCGACTATCCCCGTCTATCGGTATATCGCCACTTAGGCTACCTCGATGCTTCAGTACAAAATCAACAACAAAATGTTTACATTTGTGCCACCATGTCTACCTGGAGAAACCTGTTCGTAAACGAGTGCCCTATGAAGTTTGTCCGATGTTTGATGAACTTGTTCCGGATACCATGCTTCTTGCGAAATCGATCAGATGGCGCTGTACCACGCCCTAGAATTGATGACCAACTTGTAACCAGGAACGGTTGTCTTCTGCGGCCACGCCCTTCATCTCCGTGAAACAGTATCGGAGCTGTTCGCTCCAGCACGACCTTGCCCTGCCGGGCTAAGTCGTATATTGGATGAGATGAATGTGAAAGCTCGAAGTTTTTCCAGAAATGATGTAGGATAGCTTCTTGTCGAGCCTCGTCCGGTCGCACTAGCCCCGTAACTATGTGAAAGCAGTTTTTCTGCAACAGAAACCGCATCCAGTCTTGGAGGTGCAGAATGGTCAACTTGTTGCCATTCTGAGTCACACTGCGTAATGGCACATATGTTTCCAGGCTCAGGTGCAATCGCTTCGTAAGCAGTCGGTGAGTATCCCTTTCAGCATTTGTATCGCTACATTTGGAAAGCTGGATCAGCCCCCCACTAGAAGCGGCAGCATCCCCAAAATCGCGGACCACATTCCGAGCTGTCCGCACAGCTGAAGAACATGCTGCCTCGGCGCAGGGGCCATGCTAATCGGGTGAAGGGCTTCGAAGCTTCAGAGGTTTGGGATCGGAAGACCCGAGGAACCCAAGCGAAGTTGGTTTGGTGGTGCTTATCGAGGGCTATGTAGACCTATGTGTCGATATAGTATTTTCGGGCTCAAGGGGTTCTCGGTGGGCCTGCAAAGCCTTCAAACCATCCTGGAAGCTAAAGGATTGAGTATTTCTTGAAAATTCGGGGGTTTACTGGGTTCAAACACTCGCGGACTCTACACAAGATTTCGCCAAGTACCGAACCGCAGCATTAAGAAGTATTAAGAACAAGATCCGAGGTCCTAGCTCCACTGCCGATATCTGCTGCGAAGCCCCGGATTGTGTAGCCAGGCTTGGGACCTGGCATCAATATTGGAGACCCGGGACTCGATCTAAAGTTCATCGTTCTCGGATGTGGATGAACTAAGACACTTTGCTTGGGTTTATATTTGTTGAAGTTTACATGCTTGGGTCTCGGGCTTATAGGGTTTATATACAAGTATATATAAGTATACGGTTTATACAGAGGATATTAGGGTCGGGGTGCTGAAACTTCAATCTTTTGAACCGTTACCCCCAGAAAAGCAGCGCATGTCATTATGCATGCGGCGAAAACCGCAGCAGAGTCCCTTTCGGGAGCACACAGAAACACCAACCACCTGAGGCACCGCTATCAACAGAGATTTAAGCATATATCACGCTAGTATGAAACGAGACAGCCAGGTGTGCATGCCCTTGAAGCATTATGTGATCATCTATAGCCGGGCGCTCAGGAGGCAGCAGGTTGACCCGCTCAGTGAAAACACATTCGAAGCATTTTACTTCTTACCAGACTTATTGCTGGCCTTAGCCTTAGCTTTAGGAGGTTTCTTGGTCTCGTCAGCACTCTTGGCGTAGAACTTCTTGTCGTTCCTGCGATCAGGAACACATCAGATGAGTATGGCAGCAAAGGGTTCAGCTACGTATCGGGGCTCCTGATTTTCGTGTCTGTCGCCATTGCCTTGCTGCACCTGAGACGGAACTTTACAACTCAGAACCGTTCCCACCGCCCCTAGAGAGCCAGCCCCATAGCCACTGCAATAGACACTCAATCTCAGAAGATCACACAAAGGTGGCATCCTTCATCTGCTTTTCGGCCTCCGCGAACAACCTGGGCAAGTGCTTTGCTCAGAAGAGGATCGAAGTCTTTATCGGGGTTACAGTGGATTATAAGGGGATTATGAATCATCTAGGGCACGTATCAGTGAATCCGAAGCAATCACCGCGAACTTGGAGTTCATTGCATTTCTCGTACTGATGCTCCATCTTCTGCACCTGGCCCTCTAGATCCTTGATCGACCTGAGCGGGAAAATAATTCTACAACTCTCTTTAACTTTTATACACGATCATGTATAATCTTGCAGTGGAGACACTTCTGCACTTCACCAGAATCGGTGAAGTTCTCGCGAAGTTCTTTGACTAACCCCTTCATCTTGTTGCTCTTCTGAACAATACTGTCCACGAACTTCTTGAGGGTGCTCTTGATCTGCAAACCGCAGGATGAGAAATAAGGGTTTAGGGTTTATGTAGGGTTCGGGGTTTAGGGCTTGTGGGGCATATAAGGTTTGGGCTTTGGGTTTGGAATTATTGTTTCAGGGCATAGATATTGTATTAAGCCCCCCCAACCTGTGAGAACTTCTCATCTGCAGTCATCTTGCGATTGTCAGCATCCTGTCTCCCTTGCATAGCAGCTAGGCCGCTGAAGGCAGAACCCAGATCCATAGGCTTGTCATCCTGGCCAGACCATGTAAAGTAGAACACAGACCCCTTGATTGATGATCCCAAACCGCGCCTTCTCAGAAGAGTACCGCTTCTCTTCCTTCGTGACTGACTCTTCGTGAGTTCCGGTTTCCCTGATGGTGACCCAGAATTCTTCCACCAGATCATACTGATTCTTCCTCAGAATTGCCAGAGCAACCCAGTAGATCAGTTTAGGTATTTCGGAGGTAGAACCAGCCAAGGCACCGCACGTGTGTATCTGCTCGGGCACGGCAATGCTTAATCGCGCCATTGATGCGAGTCCTTGTGTAGCGAATAAGAATGACAGAATAGATATGTATACACATAGAGAAACTCAGTCGGCGTGTGCGGTGTGCGTGTGCCTGGGTCTCTTTGTCCTCTCTCTCTCTCTCTCCCTCCCTCCCTCCCTCTCTCTCTCTCTCTCTCTCTCTCTCTCTCTCTCTCTCTCTCTCTCTCTCTTTCCTTCTCTCTCTCTCTCTCTCTCTCTCTCTCTCTTTATACCTCTCCCTCCCTCTCCCTCATACGACTCTGTGTAAGCTGCCGGCTGGGACCACTTGAGCTCCGTCTTCATCTCACTCTCAGAGTACCATCCAGCATCCAACTTGATGAGCTGCTTCTCCTTCTTGGTGATGATTCGCTCCAGCTTCTGCATGAAGCATTCCTTATCACTTTATCAATGTTATGCTTTGAAGCTCAGCCAGTATGTGAGCAGCTCGTTAATTCAGTCTAGCGACCTTGTCGAAATTGCAGTCTCTCAAGAGCGCACTCATTTCCGCCTTGTGGCCCTCCCAATGCTTTTTGACCCAGTCTGGTGCCTGGAGTTCCTTGCGATTCTTCTTTGGGGCCACGAAGCGCCCCAGTCTCGCACGAGCAGCCAGCAAGAGTCTGTCCTTAAGGCAATTATATTAGTATTACTAGATGCGTACAACAGCAAGACCTCAGTCCACAAACCTAGTCAGCAGAAGTCCTGACGAGTCAGAACTTTGGGAGCGCCTTTGCTCTTCTTAGGCGACGGGCCGACGGCATCTGCCTGGGCCTCACGCTTTACTCCTCCCCGGCAAGGGGTTGGAACCGGTCGGACTTGCCCACTTTGAGGAGCTGTAGCAGAAGGGTCAGGCTTCTTGGGGACACAGCTTTCCACGGCTGCATCGGGTCGGCTCGAGCGGGGCTCCGGAGACTTGGAGGCTTGCTCGATCTTCACACGTTTCAAGCCCTCGAAGAACTGTAGCATCTCATCATCCTTGATGCATGACTTACTCGACCGAACTCAACGGTAGCTCAAACCCTTATAAGCTTATAAGCCCTAAACCCCTATATTTATGAACCCTATAAAGCAATAGTTGCAACCGAGTAGCATCCACTTCAATGTCACTATCACCACCATCATCTCGAAGCAGTCCGGCCCCTTCGGGGTCCGTCGCCTCATATTTTGCAATCTTGGGGTTTTTGGTGTGCGGGTGGATTTTTGAGCACATGCATAAGAATTGTTTTCGCAGCATTTTGGGGGGTCATCGAGGTTCTAGGGAGACATCCTGGGTGGTCAAATGTAGTTTAGCGGCTGCACTACTTTTGACAGTCCTCGTTTTGGGTAATGGAAACTATACAAGCAAAGCTGGGTCTGATGTTCGGGCTAGGTACTGGGAGCGTCTCGAGAGTCTCAGTGCCCGAGGTCCGTGATGGTGTGTATGGATCGACCTGGAAAAGTGCATTTCAGGAGACCCGATCGAGCGCCCAGGATTTCCGAACATTGTGCAGTACAGGGGCGAGAGTGGATTCGGCTGTCGGCTCTTGATCTGAAGGTTCACGGTCTCCTTCTAGGTCCTGGTTAGAGGGTCAAATTGTACTTTCGAGGAGTCGAGGTTACACACTCGTAGTATCGACGACGACTACTACTAGTACTACTACGACTACTGCTACTGCTAGTGCTCATGCTTCTGCTACTATTATTATAATAGTATTCTTCCTAGTACTATACTACTACTACGACGACGAACACAATAATACTATCAGCTTGCTACCAGCCCACCTACTACTATTTTGCTGCTGCTGCTACTACTACTACTACTACTACTACTACTACTACGACTACTACGACTACTACGACTACTAGTGCTCTTTGCAAAACGAAAAAATATATATATATATATATATATATATATTATTTACTACTTCTGCTTCTACTACTACTACTGCTGCCGCTGCTGCTGCTGCTCTGCTGCTGCTACTACTATTAACCACCACTAGACTAGACTACGGTACCATGACACTGCTGCTGCTAGTACTACGACAAGTACTACTACTACTCCTCCTTCTACTGCTGCTGCAGGCGCTGCCTTCCTAGTGCTACTACCAGCACTATTATACTGCTGCTGCTCTTACTATTTACGAATTATAATTCTAACTGCTATTGATATATAATATAGTTCTGTAATGCTGCACTGTTTCGGGTCTTACAAACTCTCCGCCAGGAGGAACGTGACACAGTTCCGGCCGATGCCTTCATCCGTGTCATGGATATCAGATCCCTGATCTGATATCCATGCCACGGATGAAGGCATCGGCTTCGATGAAGCTTGTGGCACCGTGGAGGCTGGAGCCTGGTGTTCAGTTTTATGTAATTGGGAAGAGCTTTCTATAACCCCATAGCCTTCACTTGCAGAAACCGTGAGTTCGGCCTGTAGCACCGACATGAAACTTATGCGACCCAGTTTCCTATTGTTTGTAGATATATTATATATATATATATATATATATAAGCCGACCCTATAGCTAAGGAAGCTTCTTCAAGAAGATCATAAGCCCGCGCCCGGAATCAGGTCTGCTGTGGTTTGGGCTTTATGTATAGGGCCTGAAATCCCTCAATCCAGGAAGTTTCAATCAACCTTGAAAGACACTCTAATATATCAGAAAACAAGAAACTTGGGGCTTGGGATCTTCTTGGGAGGATGAGGGGAGGAGGCGCAGCGGAGTAGCCTTACTAATATTGAAGCAGCAGCAGCAGCAGCAGCAGCAGCAGCAGTAGTAGTAGCAACACAAGCCGTCGTAGCAAAGTCACAGCAGCAGCAACAGTAGCAACACAAGCCACCGTAATAGTCACAGCAGCAGCAGCAGCAGCAGTAGATAGTGACCGGAGTAGAAAAGCAGCAGTGGGGTGTTCACTTCAGACTTCATCTTATTGCGATTGCTGTTGCTGTTGCTGCTGTTGCAGTTGCCGTTGTTGTTGGTGGTGTTCATGTTTGTGTTGGCGTCGGTGTTGCTGTTGCGCTGGTGGTGCTTCTAGTGGTGGTGGCGCTGCAGCTGTTGGTGGTGGCGGCAGTGGAAGTGATGGTGTTGGCTTTGGTCTTGTTGTTTGTTGCTGCTGCTGTGCTGGTAGGTAGCTTCCAGGATTTAAGGTTTGTATGGGTTAATTTAGTAAAGGTCTATATCCATATATGGTTCCCGACAACCCCGAAACACTGGGTCCTTCATCTCCGCAAGCAATCTAGCTTCTTCGGCTGCAAGCTGTTCCAGCTCTGCTTCAGTGGATACATCAGCCACACCAGCGTCTAGGGTAGATGTGCTCCATGCTCTGGATTGGACAGGACCCGACATCTGGTCAACGGCGCTACAACAAGGAGTGCTGCGAGGCCTGTGGCTTCAGGAGTGGGGCTGGTTTCTAAAGTGCACAATGTGCCGATCGCTGGCAGTCACATAAGAATCTTTCCGGGCGCAAATTAGTCGACGATCCAGCAAAGGCAGGCATATAATGCCCAATTATGGGTGTTCAAAACACCTTCAAAGCTTGTTAGAAGTCTCACAGCCCGGAAGCAAAAAACCCATAAATTATTTATGGGTTTTTACGCGTTATTTATGGGTTATTTACGCTTTATTTATGGGTACCGCTTTTTTTGGAAAAAGTAGGGTGTTACACAAATATGGGTTTTTATGGGTTGGATTTATGGGTTTTCACGCTCAGTTTATGGGTTATTTATGGGGAAATATGGGTTTTTACGGCCACCGGCTAGTATAAATTTATGTTAAAGCCTTCAAAGAGCTATAAAGATCTATATAAAGTCTAACAAAAGCCACAAGCCCCATACATCTATCGGTCAAAAGTCACCCAACAAATTCTGAATTCCTGATCCCTGGGCCTCTGGGTTCCTTTCTAACCAGATCCCCGACCCTTCCTGTGGTTTCCGAGCACCTGTGAGATTCTAGGGAGCGACAGGAAAGGATTTGGGCACCAAGGTTTTCCACTTTTCGGGAACCTTGAGCTTTGTGGATCCTCTCAAATACACAAAACACTCTTTGAAGTTCACATTCGACCAAAGCTCCGGGTTCGTATTGTAGGACATAGCACGAAACGTGTCTGTCCCCGGCGGCACAACCTCCGGAAGCTCAGGCTGCCCTTGGCCTGTCATCCTCAGCTTGTCGAGGTTGTCGGCCACATGGCAGGCGAATCTCATGGGATATATCCTGGGCTGAAAGGGTCATGGATATTTCGGGTTAAACCACAGCACCATTCACTACATGGGGCGAGTTTACATATGGGCTATTTACCAGGGATCTCGATATCTACTTTATGGGTATTTGTTGAGTGGTTCTGCTTCGGGCTTTCACATTGAATGGTTCGAACTGGGTCTTTATGTCGGGGGTTTCCACTTTCGGGCTTTACATCGGGGCTCCTCTTTGGGCCTGTATGTTCCGCTTCTCGGCTCGGGGTCTTTATGTGTGGAAGTACTTTGTGCATATCAAACTATTAATAACTTTAACATGATACACAATTGTGTATCATGTTAAAGTTATTATTATTTATGGTATTAATTTATATATTATTATATACATATATTTAAGTGCTATATAGCTATATCTATCTATATTGTATATATATGTATATATATATAGATATACGTACATATACATTTATAACATGGTACATATATATATATATATATATACACAATATAATGTGTATATATATATATATATGTAGATGTACGTTGGGTCGATGATTTCTATTAGGTGCCTTGAAGCAATCGGGCTGCTGCGTTTCACGAAGAGACGGTGTTGCGGTGTACTTCTCTTTACCATCCTCGCCTCGCTTCCTTTTGGTGGTCTTAACCACCTCACCCTGCTCAGAAGTCCAGGCGCGCCTGTCCAATCTCCCTGTCTCCAAGCAACAGATATTCGGACTGTTCGAGAAGGCATACTGCCTCTTAGGCGTCGGCGCTCCATACAAACCCATCCACCATTCGACTTGAAACACCTTAGCTAGCTTAGGTGACACACATACTTTTCATAGCTTGAGGGTACGGACAATAAAGACTGAGCCAGTCACTGCTTGGCAGCCGAGGATTTGGTGCATGTCAAGCATTAGGTTGCGCCACGTTGGGTGGAATTGGACGAGCGAACCACCAGGTTGTTCTAGCACGAAGCATCCCTTGAGGCTTGCAACCAGATAGCACAAAAGGGTTGTCCTGCCACAGGGAGTATACCGCATTGTTCAGAACCTTCTACAGGAGACAACAGACATGGGTATTGCAAATCCACATGAAAGCTCCGCAGGCCTCTCTAACAAGAGATTTGCTTCCTTCACAGATTTGTATGAAGAATCACCAATAGCCGAGCATTCGCAACGCTTTGATGTGCCCCTGTTCAGTCCACAGAATGACGAGCACTTCAGCGCAAATAGGGCCACGAAGCCGGATGGCGAGCCCCGAAGTATGAAGAAGCATGCCAACCTAGGCCAAGATTATTTGGAATTGTTGAGAACAGTTACATATACCTAGCTTAACAACAGCTGCTACGGTTCTGGACCGGGACACAGAAAGCCTGATGCACTCGACAAGTCCATATAATTGCTCGTGAACCGTTCTTCTTTCTCATTGTACAGGATGTCGAACTTTGCACACTTGTACATCTTCTGGCGGCAAGCATAGGTCACGTTTGCCATCCCGGCAAAGAACTCCAACAAATCCATGTCCTTATAAGATCACAGAACTCACCGAACACCAGATTTCCAACGGAACGATATAAACCTGCCTGAAGGAACTCGTCTTCGTCACGTGTGAAGATGAGGAGCAAGAGGCACAGAACGAACTCCTGGGCCAGGGTTGTTCTTGCCACAATTTTTGGAGTAAGGGTATGTAGATTCATGTATACAAAAAGGGGTTTCACACGAAAGCAGGTATCATGCAATATGTGTAATATACATACTATACCGATGCATATAACATGTGTTAGTATACTAACACATGTTATATGCATCGTACATATATATATATATATATAGATACACATTATATATATATATATATATATAGCAGAAACAGGGAGAGCGGAGGAGGGAGCAAAGTCACATGATGTGTTCCCCACACCCGACTTTGTTCCCCAGTGTCCCTGTCTGTGAAAACCATATGATGCTGTGTAGATAGATGTGACGATCCTGGCAGGTGTTTCAAAGTGCTTCTGTTTTGTGGCTGTTTGGGGTTCACACATAAAGACCAGATAGAATATGCCCACGGAATCGATGCGATCATATTGACTGTATGCTCGCTCGTCCATGTGTGCATGTGTACATACAGACCATGCACACATACATGTATAGACAAAACATGCATGATTGCATGGTGTTACTATGCATCATGTATTGAGCTACCTTGCTACACTGGCTCTGTATGTATATTACACACGTTACTGATCTTCTTAAGCCACAATAAGGAACCTGGCCCCGAACCTTCCACACCTAAACCCTCGATCCGCTCCCAACTCCTAACCAAACAACCCTATTTTAGTTGAAGGTTGATAAGAGGCTTGGGGTTTAGGGTTTATTAGGTTCCGGGTGCTGGGCTTGAAAAGCCATCGGATTTGAGCTTCTTTTTCGAACATGTACAGCCAACAAATACCCCCAAACCCAAACCCACAATTACCCTATATAATGCTTCTCACCCTGAGAGTTTCAAGCCTGCAGAAGCCTGCTTTTTCTAATCTAAAGCAAGACCCGACCATCCTAGCAAAGCCCCAGCTAACTTCCCGATTGGTATGCAGTCAACAATTCTGCAATCTCCTTGGGTGCCCGGAGCTTCGAAAGTCTCCAGACCAGAGCATCCAGATTCAACATGGTATGTGCCACAGAGGATCGAGCGGTGGACACTTCGAAATTGCTGAGGCCGGAATGATTGTGGATGCAGTGCTGCATTCAGGAATTCAGGAATTGGCCCCGATGCAAACACTCTGCTAAAGCAATTTGCGCAAGCCTTTGAACATCCCGAAACATGTCTGGCAGCACGCTTCTTCGACAGGTGCTCCACGCGAATCTTCCAGATGTCTCTCTTGAAGCGTTTGGCCTCGGCACGGAGGATGAGGTCTAAAGTGGGCTTTCGGCCAGAGGGTATCCCCTTATAAGCCTTTGTAAGTTTAGAGGGATTCCAAGGCTATATCCTGAAATTAGCTAAATTTAGTCAAGCTACTTAAGTATGACATACTTGGTGGCACTTAGATCATACAGCCACAATTACGTGTCCTGGATGAGAAACATCAGGCAAGCTGAATTAAAGCCCGAAACTATATATAGAGTGCCATACGACTAATTAATATAGAAGCTAGGTTCACCCAAGTGTAAAAGCCCCAACCACCTCAAGGATCCTCCCGATTCTATGTGACCCAACCCAAGCACAAGCCAGTATTATAGTGAACCTGAATGATTGTTGCACAGACCTTTTCGGGATGCCCTCCCGTGCGATCGAAAGCTCCGGTGCTTCTTATGGCACGGCCACAGCGTGTCGACAACAAGCCGAGATCTGATCAAGAGGTGCAGAAGAGCATGTATGTCCGCTCATAAGCAACATATCTGGATTGCAGATGCTGGCTTGCTGGTAATGCACGAGCAGCAGAAAGCTGCAGCCTAAGCATAGAAGCATCCTCAGCGGGTGGCCTTGTTCCCCGCTCAGCTGAGGCAGCGAGCACCCCAACAAGGCACACAAACTAGACTGAAGACGCTCCATGCACTGCAGCACAAATCACACTTCTTGCGACCACTGCTATGCAGCAGATCACTTCTTCGCGATCTTTTTGATAAAGCTCTCTGCAGCAGTCTCACATGCTGCCGGCACCGTCTCAGAATCGATCGTCCATTCCTTGAACTCTTGCACGCAGTGGGTCCAAAAGGGATCCTCCAGGGGGGTTGTCAAGGTTGGGGTGCACTTGTAGATGATATACATAACAATTGGTTTTGGAACATCACAAAACGAATTCCGCATCTCCTCGAACGAGCTTGGGCAAGTGGTCTTGAGCCGCGGGCGCACGATCTTCAAGAAGGCATCGCGGATAGCATCGAACTTGGCCATGGCCATCTTCTGTGACCCCGGCCTGTACCGTCTTGCGAAAATCACGGGCTTCCCCTCCTCGTCGTCTGTGCCATCAGGACCATCATTCTCCGGCTCGGGCTCAGTGTCCTTTGCAGAGCTCTTGGCACCCTTCTTGGCGGAAGCTTTTGCTTTCGCCTTGCCTTTCGCCTTGGGGGATGCCTTGGCTTTCGCTTTGGCCTTTGGGCCGGCCTTTGGGCGAGCTGCCTTCTTCGAAGGCTCCGGCTCATCTTCCTCAGGCGAGCCCTCAGCTTTGCGCTTCTTGCTCGTCGCTACACTGTCCGGCTTCGTTTTCTTCGGCAAGCGGGTCTTGGGGACAACGGCAGGCTCTTCGTTCTCGTAGGACGCAACCCACTGATCACCATCCCAATGACCATCTTCATCCCACTGATCACCCTCATCATAGCCATAGCCGTACTGGAGCCAGTGATCCCACTCTTCGGCGCTGTAACCTCCCCCGTCAGCACCAGTCTCCCACTCAGCTTCTGCGCTCTTCTTCTTCTTCTTGTTGTCAGTGCCACACTTCTTAGCGTCATTCTTGGGTGCTGCCTTCTTCTTGTTGTCAGTGCCACACTTCTTATCGTCATTCTCGGGCGGTGCGTTCTTCTCGTTGTTGTCAGTGTCACACATCTCCATGTCATTCTCCTCATCATCACCCTTCTTCTTTCCACGCTTAGTCTGTGCCTTGATCTTGGCACGCACAGCCAACTGATCCACACGGCCAATATCGGACGCGGCAACCTGCCCCAGTTGAAATCAATGTTATCTATCTTAAAAATTACCACATGTATAGACAAACACTGGAGCCTTCTCATCTGGGGTGAAAGGATCCTCAGACCCTTTCGCAGTGTTATCCAAGACTTCTGGCGAGTATGGATTGTAAGGAAGTCGGGCATCCGTGGTGGATCCAGGGCGGGGCTTCATCTTCTTGGTTTTGCACTGCCTTAGCTGGTAGTCCTCCCGAAGCTCAGCAGCACTGGGCTCGCTCTCCTTGCGCTTGCTTGAGGGAGGCTCTGAGGGTGGCGGGGTCTCGACGTCGAAGATGTCGTGGGGGAGGGTCTCTTGATTATCAAGCACAGGTCCCAGAGATCCAGGCATGTTCTTGATGCTCGCCGAAACCTCGGAAGGTCCTGGCAGTTTGGAAAGCTTAACACAAAAACGCACACAGGGTGATTGCATTCCAAAATCAGATCTCAATCTCCACTTTTACCCGGGGTCCTTCATTTGAAGCGGAATCAACAGGGCCTTCATTTGAAGCGGAACCAACAGGGCCCACCACTTGCTTTTTCTCCTTCAGCCTGAGCAAAGAATGCCGCGCGAAACAGCTCGATCTAGATTTAAGACTACCGCACCCGTGCACACACACACCGTAACAAACGAGCCAAGGCAGGTACTGCTCGATGCGACGCCTCAACTCAGCCAATCTCGCGACCTTGAGGGCTCTCTCGGATGCACCTCAACCATGAACTTAATCAAGTCTCCGAATTTCGATGCTGGCCATGACATGTGTGCATATTACAGAAGCAACTGAGACATTAACTGTTGCGGGTTGGGGTGGCCAGGGGCTTGAAAGTGACCTTCCAACCTGGCTTCACCTCCGCACTCCCAGCGGAAGCTTCCACTTCCGCGGTGGATCCCGGCTCCGTGGAGCCTCCATTGGACCCATCCACAACATCGGCTCGAACTTCATGCTCAGCGGTGGACCCCACAGCCGCAGGCTCTGCTGCGACCTCAGCAGCTGCCTCAGCAGGCATCTCCAAAGCCCGCCCACTGTCGTGGCTGCACTCCGTCGGAGGCGCCACGGCAGATTCATCACCATCATCGATGATAATCGGATGACTGGGAAATATCGGGTCCTCACTTGGCTGCTCAGCATGGGGTACCAAAGCAGACCTTGCGGGGCTGTGGATATCATTCAGCTCATTCAGCAAATCATGAAGATCATCGCAGTCAACAGGGCCAACACCACCAGCTGCTGCATTCACGTCTTCCTCGGCTCCTGCATCGCCACCCGCGCCCGCACTGGACGAGGGGCCCTCTGGAGCAGCCTCTTCCGAGGCCTCGTCAGAGTCGCCGTCATCATCGTAAGCATCTTCATCCTCGTCCACGGCCTGCTGCATATATCTACATAATGATTATATCCTGTGCCATGCAAATGAAAAACCTTCTGCTCATTTCTCGTCTGTCCTCGCGACTGCCGGCGGAAGCAGCCTTCCGTCTCGCCCGGTTGGCGTTCACAGCGTCGACCACTTCCTCCGAAGGGTTGCGGTTTCTTGGTCAAATGTTGAGGAGCACTGCAACTCAGGAAAGTTGTAAAGTCAGTCCTGCAGGCTGGGGTCCAAAGTCAAGCACAACTCTTGGAAGTCTGCATCCTGCTGGGCTTTTGGTCTATTTAGCATCTTTTTAATGCTTCATATGTGGCACTACCACTCACGATGCTCGTGATGCTTATATGATGAGACAGGGCACGGTGGATACTTCCCGGCGGCGGCACTTTGCCTTGATAAAGGTGAGCTGCTTGCGGATAAGCCAAGTATACTTATCGATCTCGCTCTCCTCATTAGACAACCGCTTCGTGAGATCAAGCACTGTCTTGACCTCTGCTCGGAGAGGATCCACTCCGGGCATCTTCTTGTCAGCTGCATGCATCCTGACCAGGATGGGCTTGATCAGCAGTTTGAACTTGCTCGGCAGCTTGATGTCCACCTGCTTCTCACTGACCTCGTGGATGAGTGGCTTGCCCTCACGCAAGCTGTTGCGGATATCAGGGATCGCCTCCCATTCCTTTCCGAGGCCATCGATCGAACAAGTCGACGGCATGAGGTTGGGATCCATAAAAATCCTATACAATAAATCTAGCTGTCCCCCTGTCTTCGGTTTTGAGAAGGAGGTGCAAAATCACGGTTTAGTTGGATGCAAGCTGCGCACACACACATACACGCCCATGCGCTCCAGCATATACTTCTCAATCACACAACACACATAGTATACACTCGCACACACACACACACACACCCACACACACCCTGTAAGCACACAGCTCGCTTGCTGAATCAGTGCTGAACCTCATAAGATGAGTTCCGAACTTTCATGCGATCGGCGGAAAAGAAGCCATGGCCGCCAGCACGGCAGCTGCACCGTTCTTTGTACTAGATTATATACACTGGTCGGGACTAGCCGGCCCGTTGGTAAAGACCCAAGAGTGCTACCTTACATACTTTCCGATTCAAAGGCCCAACAAAGAAGCTCGTATCTACATAGAGAACCGCCGAAACCCTGATGCAGGCCATTTGGGATTTCGGGCTCGTTCAAAAACTATGGATGCTTGTCGAGACATCTAAACGCCTTGATATATATATCCTACAGCCAGGGCTCGGTACATGTCATGAAACAGAGCCTTCCCATGACTCGATCGACGTCAGTTCCTGGCTTGATTTAAGCTGGAACGACCAGAGCGGCGCCTTGCGTGGTGTCGGGTTTGGGGGCTTGGAAATTACAGGGTTGGATGTTAAAAGGGGCCTGGATCTGGCATTCTCATCTTGGGAGTACATTATGTGCTCTTCGGCTTGGGGGCATCATGATTTACATGCACTACCTCGAAGTCATATGCACATATCGAAGGTGCACCGGGGACTTGGGCATTGTTTGGATTTCTTATGTAGCACCAAAGTATGAGACTTAAGGGTAAAACAAGGGTATTTATAAGAACCGGGTTTTTTTAGGGAAACCCAGGTTATCAGATCATCCCAATCCCAAACCTAGGTTATTTGTTTGCACCCGACAAATTTTAGGGGTCAAGACGGTCTAGGTATACATATACATATACATATACATATACATATACATATATATATATATTATTATAGTTGTTATTGTCAATATATACACTTTACCCAGATCACAGATGTGCCACATGTGGTGCAATTGACGCAGAAGGTGCAAATGGCGCGCACACAAAGTTTCAAGACACAGAAATATACACATATGTATATATGTATGTATATATATATATATACATACATACATATATGTATTTTATGCAATGCATAATAATGATTCATTTTATACCATGATTTCTATGCTCTGTTCTACATATTTCAGCGGTGGCGGGGGGTGCGGGGGGGGGGGGTGTGGGGTGTGGGGGGGGGGGGTGCGTGCGGGGTTGCGTGGGGGGTGTGCGGGGGTGCGCGGGGTGCGGCGGGGTGCGGGGGCGGGGGTGCGGGGGTGCGGGGGGTGCGGGGGGGTGCGGGCGGGTGCGGGCGGTGCGGAGGGTGCGGTAGGGTGGTGCGGGGGGTGCGGGGGTGCGGGAGGTGCGGTGCGGTGCGGGGGGGTGCGGGGGGTGCGGGGGGTGCGGGCGCGCTTCTGGCCACCATTCGCGCCCGCAATGCAGTCAAATAAACAACAAATTTAAGAAACATACCGCCCGGAAAGGAACCAAACGAGCAACGGCAAAGAAAGTCCTCAGCCTCAAAGATTGATGTGGTCAACACGGATTGCTGCTGCCAGGCAGCTTCTGCTATATGCTTGTCGTGTCTTAATCCCAGGACAGGCTACCTTTAGGCTCGGTGCAACTCGTACCAAGCAACACAACACGGATGACACGCCAGCAAACCAAGCCAATCACAGCTGCTGCAACGATCGGGAAATTCTCCGTTTCTGCAGGCTGAGTGTGGAGAAATGTGAAGAGCACGTGGCTGAAAATCATCACACTTGCTCGATAAAATCCTCTGGCCTCTCTTCGCAAACGACGGGAATCTGGCGAAGAATCATACCCTTGCCAGATTCTTGGAGCTTGCGGACAATTCATGTCATGGCAAAGTGAGCCAATGCAGTGCAAGTCCTCAGCCTCAAAGATTGATGTGGTCAACACGGATTGCTGCTGCCAGGCAGCTTCTGCTATATGCTTGTCGTGTCTTAATCCCAGGACAGGCTACCTTTGGGCTTGGTGCAACTCGTACCAAGCCACACAACACCGATGATGCGCCAGCGAACCCAGCCAATCACAGCTGCTGCAACGATCGGGAAATTCTCCGTTTCTGCAGGCTGAGTGTGGAGAAATGCGAAGAGCACGTGGCTGAAAATCAGATCACACTTGCTCGATAAAATCCTCTGGCCTCTCTTCGCAAACGACGGGAATCTGGCAAAAAAACATACCCTTGCCAAATTCTTGGAGCTTGCGGACAATTCGTGTCATGGCAAAGTGAGCCAATGCAGTGCAAGTCCTCAGCCTCAAAGATTGATGTGGTCAACACGGATTGCTGCTGCCAGGCAGCTTCTGCTATATGCTTGTCGTGTCTTAATCCCAGGACAGGCTACCTTTAGGCTTGGTGCAACTCATACCAAGCAACACAACACCGATGATGCGCCAGCAAACCAAGCCAATCACAGCTGCTGCAACGATCGGGAAATTCTCCGTTTCTGCAGGCTGAGTGTGGAGAAATGCGAAGAGCACGTGGCTGAAAATCAGATCACACTTGCTCGATAAAATCCTCTGGCCTCTCTTCGCAAACGACGGGAATCTGGCACAAAAACATACCCTTGCCAGATTCTTGGAGCTTGCGGACAATTCGTGTCATGGCAAAGTGAGCCAATGCAGTGCAAGTCCTCAGCCTCAAAGATTGATGTGGTCAACACGGATTGCTGCTGCCAGGCAGCTTCTGCTATATGCTTGTCGTGTCTTAATCCCAGGACAGGCTACCTTTAGGCTTGGTGCAACTCGTACCAAGCAACACAACACCGATGATGCGCCAGCAAACCAAGCCAATCACAGCTGCTGCAACGATCCGGAACTTCTCCGTTTCTGCAGGCTGAGTGTGGAGAAATGCGAAGAGCACGTGGCTGAAAATCAGATCACACTTGCTCGATAAAATCCTCTGGCCTCTCTTCGCAAACGACGGGAATCTGGCAAAGACTCATACCCTTGCCAGATTCTTGGAGCTTGCGGACAATGGATGTCGTGGCAAAGTGAGCCAATGCAGTGCAAGTCCTCAGCCTCAAAGATTGATGTGGTCAACACGGATTGCTGCTGCCAGGCAGCTTCTGCTATATGCTTGTCGTGTCTTAATCCCAGGACAGGCTACCTTTAGGCTTGGTGCAACTCATACCAAGCAACACAACACCGATGATGCGCCAGCAAACCCAGCCAATCACAGCTGCTGCAACGATCGGGAACTTCTCCGTTTCTGCAGGCTGAGTGTGGAGAAATGCGAAGAGCACGTGGCTGAAAATCAGATCACTCTTGCTCGATAAAATCCTCTGGCCTCTCTTCGCAAACGACGGGAATCTGGCGAAGAATCATACCCTTGCCAGATTCTTGGAGCTTGCGGACAATTCATGTCATGGCAAAGTGAGCCAATGCAGTGCAAGTCCTCAGCCTCAAAGATTGATGTGGTCAACACGGATTGCTGCTGCCAGGCAGCTTCTGCCATATGCTTGTCGTGTCTTAATCCCAGGACAGGCTACCTCTTGGTGCAACTCATACCAAGCAACACAACACCGATGATGCGCCAGCAAACCAAGCCAATCACAGTTGCTGCAACGATCGGGAACGTCTCCGTTTCTGCAGGCTGAGTGTGGAGAAATGCGAAGAGCACGTGGCTGAAAATCAGATCACACTTGCTCGATAAAATCCTCTGGCCTCTCTTCGCAAACGACGGGAATCTGGCGAAGAATCATACCCTTGCCAAATTCTTGGAGCTTGCGGACAATTCGTGTCATGGCAAAGTGAGCCAATGCAGTGCAAGTCCTCAGCCTCAAAGATTGATGTGGTCAACACGGATTGCTGCTGCCAGGCAGCTTCTGCTATATGCTTGTCGTGTCTTAATCCCAGGACAGGCTACCTTTAGGCTTGGTGCAACTCGTACCAAGCAACGCAACACCGATGATGCGCCAGCGAACCCAGCCAATCACAGCTGCTGCAACGATCCGGAAATTCTCCGTTTCTGCAGGCTGAGTGTGGAGAAATGCGAAGAGCACGTGGCTGAAAATCAGATCACACTTGCTCGATAAAATCCTCTGGCCTCTCGTCGCAAACGACGGGAATCTGGCAAAGACTCATACCCTTGCCAGATTCTTGGAGCTTGCGGACAACAGATGTCGTGGAAAAGTGAGCCAACGCAGTGCAAGTCCTCAGCCTCAAAGATTGATGTGGTCAACACGGATTGCTGCTGCCAGGCAGCTTCTGCTATATGCTTGTCGTGTCTTAATCCCAGGACAGGCTACCTTTAGGCTCATACCAAGCAACACAACACGGATGACACGCCAGCAAACCAAGCCAATCACAGCTGCTGCAACGATCAGGAAATTCTCCGTTTCTGCAGGCTGAGTGTGGAGAAATGCGAAGAGCACGTGGCTGAAAATCAGATCACACTTGCTCGATAAAATCCTCTGGCCTCTCTTCGCAAACGACGGGAATCTGGCGAAGAATCATACCCTTGCCAGATTCTTGGAGCTTGCGGACAATTCATGTCATGGCAAAGTGAGCCAATGCAGTGCAAGTCCTCAGCCTCAAAGATTGATGTGGTCAACACGGATTGCTGCTGCCAGGCAGCTTCTGCTATATGCTTGTCGTGTCTTAATCCCAGGACAGGCTACCTTTAGGCTTGGTGCAACTCGTACCAAGCAACACAACACCGATGATGCGCCAGCGAACCCAGCCAATCACAGCTGCTGCAACGATCGGGAACTTCTCCGTTTCTGCAGGCTGAGTGTGGAGAAATGCGAAGAGCACGTGGCTGAAAATCAGATCACACTTGCTCGATAAAATCCTCTGGCCTCTCTTCGCAAACGACGGGAATCTGGCAAAGACTCATACCCTTGCCAGATTCTTGGAGCTTGCGGACAACGGATGTCGTGGCAAAGTGAGCCAATGCAGTGCAAGTCCTCAGCCTCAAAGATTGATGTGGTCAACACGGATTGCTGCTGCCAGGCAGCTTCTGCTATATGCTTGTCGTGTCTTAATCCCAGGACAGGCTACCTTTAGGCTTGGTGCAACTCATACCAAGCAACACAACACCGATGATGCGCCAGCGAACCTAGCCAATCACAGCTGCTGCAGCGATCGGGCATTTTTCACAGGTGCAACTCGTCTTAAGCAAGCGCCATGCCGCTATGCTTGTCGATGCAAACAATGTCAGCCAGATACACAGCTGCAGCATGCCGGGCTGCCGGACCAAGTCAAGAAAGTGCGTACAAGTACGAACCAAGATACTACAGTCTGCGCGGTTTTGCGCGTAGTGAAGTTGGAATGCAAGCTTTCACTTGCTTCAGCTGGGTGACAGCCACACGGCGTCGTGCCAGCTCTCCCTGCACCAGCGATGGCCTCATCGACTCACATGGAAGCCCAGCAATCAGAACAGAAGCACTGACTCAGAAGTGTGCCTCCTGTAGAGGCTTAAACTTGTTTCGGGTTCTGACAAAATGGGCTGTCCAAGCTGCTCGTCGGCTCGATGTACGTCGCCAAGACCAAGGGCGCCAGAGTCTGACTCCCCCCAGGCCTGAAGTTCGAACGACGCAGGACCGAGAATGACCCTATGGCCCTAGTTTCCCTAGCTTCCTTCTTGGAGTCTTAGGTTTGGCCAACGCGTCTCTAGGACCTTGGGGGCATCGCTCAGGACACTTGCCGTCTCATGCTCACCGAGTCCGATGCAAGCAACTCCCCGCGGGCGGTGAGCACAGCACAGAACCCACCGCCGCAGGCAACTGACACCACCTGGTTAAGCACGCTTGCAGTACACACCCGCAGCACATTCTGGTTCGTCCGAGTGCGACACAAGCGTGGCGTGCAAACTCGGCCTTGCAGCACAAGGTGATGTAGAACGACCATGTCCGCCCCAATTCGCCTCCCTGCGCCATCTGCTTGCTTCTGGCCTCTGCCTCCAATCTGGGCATGCCAGAGGGCGGCTGCCTTCGGAGCCATCGCCCCCGTCCGCATACCAGGCCTCTCGAAAAGACTACAGTATCCAGTGCCAGGCAACTCCGGAATGCAAAGTTGGGCCTGCGAGGAGAAAACGTCTCCACTGTCCATGAGTGCCACGGCAGCGATGTGGCTTCCACCTGTCCTTCCAAAAGCCAAAACAGCAGAATGCCGACTCCAACCTATTTCTCTCAAACTTCAGAAGCTCACCTCAGAATACATTGCTGAGCCTAGATTTTAGGCCTCTGCCAAGGCTCCTCTCGAACCCTGCACCCCTATGTAAGACGAAACATCAAAACAGTTCAACGGACACTTCAGCGTTGCCTTCCATGCCCGAATCCCAGAGCCTGGGTGTCGAGAGCGCTTCTTACGGAAGTCACCTCTTACAACCTTCCTTCTGCAAATGCCGAGATCGAAGCTACGTCTCGCAGCTGCAGCTTCTGTCCAGCCTCTGTCTCTCAAGTGAATCATCAGGCCTGGCGGCCTGGAAAGCATCCACGCCTCGTCCTTCAAGACCGTCAGTGACCACTCCATGGCGAAGCCACGTGCCTCAGCCCGGACGCGGACCAGAGGGCGTGCTACCCGTGCCGGTTCCAGAGTTCCGCAGAGGACAGCTCCACTGTGCCGGTCTTGTTGCTGGCGGCCACCCAGCGATGGACATCGCCCTGGCCGAATAATGATATATACTTGAGACCGGAAGGGCCACTAACATGCTTGACCTTGATTTGACACGCTCTCGGACCAGATTCAATGAAGTCCTCTGCTAAGCGACGGCTCGGCCCGGGCTTGCGACCGGCGACCGAAGCCTGTCCGCCCTTCGCTTCAGAACCTCGGACCTCGGGAGTGATGCCAAGGCAGCCATCGTCTCCTCCAGCGAGGGAGGTAAATCCAGGCCTCACCGACCATGCGACTCCAGCCGACTAGGCGTTTTCTTGTAACTGCGATCCGAGTGCTTCACGCACCCGGGATCTCTGTGGGGGTCATCACGCAGCTCCATTCCTGCAGGCCTTCATCACGGAACATGGATCAGAGTGGGCTGGGTTCACCATCATGGCATACAGCTACGCTTGTATTTCAACATCAGCTCAGCCGGCTGCCCTTTACGTCCTCCTGCGAGGGATTGGGACGATTAGAAGTTCTCCGAACATGTGTGCAGCAGAGTTCGCCTCTGGTGGATCGCTCTGGGAAGGCCTTCCGGGACTTGCGGTGGCCCGCACGGTGATGCGTGTCTAGGCTTGCGGCAGCGCCTCCGCGGAAGCAGCCCAAAAGCGAATGTCTTCAGCGTGTAGTCCAAAGCCTGCTGCCGCGGAGCAAAGACGTTCCAATTTCACATGCTCCACGAAATTTTTCACGAAGCAGCCGAAGCACGAAGTCTTTCCCCGGTGGTCTCACGCGCGCTGTGCCACGCGCGACAAGGCGCCAAGCACATGCGCTTCAATCGATTTACACTTTGACGGTAATGAGCTCCGAATCAGGACTTGCCGTCGCGGTAGCCTCAGCAACAAGCTTCTCTCCGAGGTCCTAGCCTGCATGCCAGAGTCAGCCCTTCTGCAACACCGGCTGCCGGCTGCCAACTCTGAGCTTGGAGCCGATCCAATAATCGCTGCGCTGGGTGCAGCACCAGATGCTCGCAACTCGGAGACCTTTCCCACTGCACCAACTCACGACTCACGCGTGACCGATGGTTTCCATAAGCCTTTGAAGGCCTTTGAGGGCATTTAGAATTTAGTCGTCTCCGGCTCTTGTGGGCTTTTGCTTCCGAGGGGCACAGGCTTCCGCTTTCGGGGGAGGGACTGCGGCCAGCAAACCACCAGACGTCTGAGGATCGAAAAGCATCAAGTACTCGAGGCGGCCTCGAACCTCCGCGTGCAGCGTGCCGAGCTCTCTTTCTCTTTCTTTGCTTTCGTGCGCGGTTTCGCGTCTTCTTTTGCAGTTACAGGGAAGGCTATGACTCCTAGGTGGACTACGCGAAAATTTCGCAGCCTGCCTCCTCGTGGTTCGCGACTGCTCTGCGGAGTCTCACATTAGCAGGCTGCAGCGAGCTCTCGATCCCCATCTTGAGACAATCGAGGGCTCCATCATACACTGGAATCTTCGACAGCTCCAGTGAAGCCTGCATACCGGAGTGCCGGCACATTTCCTTAGTTGAGTCACCAGCGCGCACTTGCCAGGACACAACCACAAGGCAGAGTTGCTAAGACAAAGAGTACAGCGTACCGCGTACACCGCGTACCATGCGAAGACCGAAAGTCTAGAAGGTGGCCGACGAGGCCGAAGCCGGTGATGTCAGTACATGCTAGGGCGCCATGAGCTCTGAGACACGCGGCAGCCTCCCTGTTGGATCTTTCCATGCTTTTCAATGCTGCGGCGATCCAAGGACCCCTGGCTTTCGCGCGCATGTCAGCAGCAAAGAGAGTACCTGTCCCCAAAGGCTTCGTGAGGATCAGCACATCCCCAGCCCTCATGGCTACTTTGGTCATGGCCGTTGTGCTGCCACCGGGCAAGCGCCCAGAAATAGCGAAGCCCAATCCCAATTCTCGGGACTCGCACGTGTGCCCACCAACAAGGGCACAATTTACCCTTCTCAGCGCGGAAGCTGCCCCAGCCATGAGCTGCACCAAGTCCTCCTCCTGCTTGTCTTCAGAAGCGAAGGGAACCTGAACCAAGGCCAATGCAGTTTGCGGCATAGCACCCATCGCCTCACAGTCACTGAGAGCATGCACAGCTGCAATGCGTCCGAATTGGTACGGATCTCCAATAAAGCTGCGGAAGAAGTCTATCGTCTGGACCGATGACACTTTATCTCCACCATCTGTGATTAGATCCACGACTGCTGCATCGTCCCCGGTTCCAATGACAACCTCTGCCTGTGGAATGCCAGATGGTATGCAAAGCTGAATTAGCTTGTGAGCTTCAACCCTACACTGGACTCAGAGGCAGGCGGCAGGAGAGGTTAATGGAAAGGACCCATGCAGAAAACACTTAAGAAAGCCTGTGCATTGCTGTTCCAGGCCTTTGCATCCCCTGGCTGTTTGGGGAAGTCCACTCGGGACATGGCTCTCTCTAGTGTGGTGGCACCCACCTTTGCTCCGCAACCGCCACATCTCATGATTGAATGCTTGAGCAGGTCGGCCGTTGCTCCAGCTGCCCTGGCCACTGCGAGGCCTGCTGGGCTGAGAGCATCGAGAGATGCCGGCATTTCCGGCAAGCCCTCGAAGTAGTTCCACATCCAACGCCTGTCAATCCAGTCCTTCAGCCCCCACAACCAAGCCCCTTCAGTTGCCAGGCTTCCCCTGGATGCAATGCAGGTCCCATCGCCCAAGTTTAGGAGCCCCAGGAAAGAGTGTTGCGGCCAGTAAGTCACCAACTTCTCGCAGGTCAGGCTGGCTCGGATGTTTATCCAGAGAACCATGCCGGCCATCACTGCAAAAACGCCTGCCTGCAGTGTGAGGATGTCTCAAGCCTACAACACAAGTCCACAACCGAGCGAAGATTGAGGGCTTTGTGAGGTCTGGGGTTGGGCCTTGAACGTGACACTAAACGGGCCTGCCTTCGGCCGTGGGTGACCCTCCACGGATGCAATGTCCCCACCTGCAAAGACGTGGCCGATGTCGAGTGTGGCATCTTTGGGCCTGCACCTCATCTGCTGATCGACTAGCAGAAAGCCCTCTTTGTCAGTGCAGAGCCCGCATGAAGCCACCCAGCTCTGTGGAGAGCCTTGCGTACACCAGATACAATCATCGTATGTCAGAGTTTTGCCATCGCTGCAGTGCAGTACCCCCGCTTCTGCACGAGTCACATCGTAGCCCGTGTGGACTTCGATGCCTCGTTGCTTCAAGGCCTTCTCGGCCAGGCAGCGTGCACCGGCCGTGTGCTGGGGCAAGAGCCCGCTCCGTGTCACAAGACCAACGGTGATTCGGGCTGTGCTGTTTAAGCGCTCCAGCTCGCTGGTCAGCCGGGCACGCATGGTGGCAGCCAGCTCAAACCCACCGGCACCTCCACCGACCACCAGCAGGCGACGCGAGCCTGTCCAGGAAGGCACTCTGGCCAACAAGTCATCCCAGCGAGCACCAAAGCCATCGATTGGCTTGACTGGAGTTATGCCCTCCGTGGAGGCATCTACTTGGACCCTCGGAGCCGATCCGATATTGATTGACAGTACGTCATAAGCAATGGGGGGCCGGTCTCCTTCCAGATTCACATGCTTCTTCTGAAGATCAATGCTCACAGCCGTGGCATGAACCAGCCGAACTCTCGCAAAACGTGCTAGAACATTCAGGTCCAGGTGACACTCACGGCGAGTGTACAAGCCGGCCACATGTGCGGGCAGCATGCCGCTGTAAGGAGTTTCCACATCACGCGTCACCAGCGTCACGCGCACTCCAGGCAAGGGCTCCATTCCGAGCATTCGCAGAACGTTCACATGGGAGTGGCCTCCACCCACGAGGACTAAATCCTTCAAAATTGGCGTCCTTTCCCAATCCTGATGTAAGCGGAAAGCTTCTGTGGCATCCTGAAAGATCCGCGCGCTGCGCTGAAGCGCCTCTCGCACTATATCTTGGTCTTCACCGCGGAAAACGAGGCCAGGCAAGTGCTGCATGTGATGGGTACCCGTCGTTTTACCCCAGCCATTCTCACCGTTAGCAGTTCGCCTCGCAGCATCGATCTGGTGAAATCTCTCAAGGGCCAGGATTGCCCGGAGCTCTGCGACTCGTCGAAACCTCTCCCAAAAACTCAAGGAGAGCGTTCCATCCTCGGCCGAGGGAACGAATATGCGCCGGATTCCATCTTGCCAAAGGATCTGAGCAAGCACCCACTCAGCCCAAAGGGGTGCCCAGGGCTTTGAAACTTCGCGACGGATCCAAAGGAAAGTGACTAAACTTCCGGTACCAAGCACAATAGCTTTCCAGTGCTCTGTCCATGGCGAGTGCAGTGAAAGCATGACAGAGGTGGCTATTGTCTGCGTTTCTCTTGCTCGGCAACACGGTCTGCAGTTCTACTGGAAGTATATGGGGCTGTCAAAGTGAATGAGAATTATGCAACAATTCCACTACACGTTCGCCTTCGAGCTGAGAGAATGCGGTGGTATGCGGAGGGTGGACACAGCCCTATGACCCAAAGAAGCCCACACACCTCACCAACCCCGGCACAGCTCTGAAGCTTTAGGCTTTAGCACAGTCATGCACAGGATCGGTCCTGTGCCTGGTTCGCCTGTGACATCCCACCTGCCATGACTCTGCTGACCGATGGCGCAAGATGCACGAGTGTGGACGCATCGGCGGGTTTCACTGAGTCTTGAATGGTTGCCATTTGGAGGCGCAAACAGTATGCCACAGCACGGCGCATTGTCAAAACGTTGACATTGTGCCTGTTCAGCAGCTGTGTGCCACACTGCGATCGCATCTCGCACCTGCGACTTCCACGATCTGAGACAGCCAGCCGCAAATACCATGCTTGAGCAGCTACAGTAGACAACAGTCACTACTAGCTACTCAAGCCAGAAAAGTAGCTGGAAAACTTTCATCGCACTGGCCTCGACGCTTCGATGTGCCCGCCACATGAGACAACGGGTGTCTGTCTACATGCTCAGGCAGGCAGTGAGCACACCGAAGCAAAGAAGAGAAGACTTTCAAGAGGCAAGTCCTTCATGAGTGGTGTCGGGGCTAAGTCAGCAAGAGCTCTGTCAGCCAGCTTCTCAGCTATTCTCAGCTACGGTGTCGTTGCATTTTGGTGTATGCTCGAGCTGCTTCAAGCCGGGCCAGAGTCAGCAGTGCATGTCCTCGCCCTGCTTCTGTGCCTAGAACCTATGCACCAACTTGATGCTGGAGCAATCAAACAGCTTCAGAGAAAGAGGCCGTTGCCCAAAGTGAACCTCCGTCAGACGCGCCTATTGATTTCCATGCTGCCTAGGGCCTTGGGAGCTTGAAACCGCGAACATGCAATACGGCAGTTCAACCTTGATGGTGCAAAGATCCAGGGCGCTCTAGACTCTCGGCAAAGTCACTGCATGCACTGCGACATCCACCAGGTGTGCAGAGGAACATGCGCCGGACAGCGTTGAAGAGAAAATCGCAGACACCACTACAACTGTCTTGACATGAGCTCTACAGTACGTAACATGATCGGGTCTAACAACCCAGCTAATCCCGACGGCGAGCCGCGCAAGATCACCTTTGCTAATGTCCTTTCCCACTGAGCGGACCCAATTGCGGCTGCTGTGAAACACGATATTAATGGGATGCCTCGACCCGGCATGGAATGCTGCAAGCCGCGTCTGAAGACTCTGTGTGCTGTCAAGTTGGTGGGGTCGAAGACTTGATGCCTTCCACCACAAGCATCCTTGTACAAGGCTGTGAAACCGCCTCTTCATCAGTTTTTCATGGGCCCTGCTGACCCACGAACCGAATGAAGAATACAATAGAACGTGCAATTTCGGTGAGACGCTCTTGCTCTCTGCTCAGATCAAGCAAACATGCTGATTGAAACCCTGGAAGTGCAAGTCCGACAAGCTAGGACACTTCGTTTACACTGCCTTGAGTGCAAGGAGGCTTTTCGTCGAGCCAACTTCTAGAAGCTGTACACTTGAGCGGCTACTTGCTGCACAATTTCCAGAACTCAACTCGCTGGACTGCTCAAAAGCGGCACTGATCGATATGAAATCAGATGAAATCAGTAGAACATGTCCAGCTCCTGGCAAAGGCAGTACTCACAACTTCCAGTATGAGTCAGTATGAGGAACCCAGCTTGAAGACCTTGGCCGTGTGTCGCTTGTTTGTTTCGGCTGCTGCAAAGCACGCAGCTCTGCGGTCTTTGCCGAGTCAAGTCTACACATGCCTAACCCCAGGCCCGAGGTACAGGAATTGAACAACAAAGGATTGGCAAAAGACGATTTCCCAGCTGGCCTTGTGCACCTCAGCTGAGTGGAGCACGCAGACACTGTCAGAGGTAGTGTCAGAGTCTTCTGAAGGTGTGAGCGCCGTGCGCAGCCTGAGGCGCTGGCTTTCGAAGGCGTCGGGGCTGTGCTCAGCCCCGTGTATCTAGGCTTTGTGTCCACGAAGGCCTGCGCAGAGGCATGCTGAAGCATGCTTCGCTTCAAACCGATCGAGGAGATGCCCTTCCCGGAGCCTTGGTGAACTGATTGGTGCTGGGAAAGTAGCGGTCGGGGACCTGCTCTTCCGCTTCAAAAGCAGCGCACGGCAAGACGAAGCCGACGCGTGCCTGGTGATCCATAGGCATCTCGCTGCCGTATGCCTCCGAATTGAGAAAAGCCAGATCTCTAGAAAAGGGCAGGGACATTGGAGAGGCGGCCTGTGCACTTGTAGCGTAGAGCGGGTTATTGGCACCTGGGCGGCAGGCTTTGAGATCTCAAAGAGATGCTTCGACGCTTTTCCGTGGCCTCGCTTTCCACTCGGCGGATAGCAGTAGTTCTGTGCCTTCAAGGGCCGCCCGTGAAGGCTTCACGGGCGTCTGCTCTTCCCCCTCATAGCCTACTGGAAACCCGCCCGGCCCGAACTGCTAGGTCATGGAGCCCTGAGCAACTAAAACCAAGCATGCATGGAATCTCGACGTCAGGCATTCGACCAGAGCTGAGTAGAGGTGTTGCAAACACAAACAGAAGCTCACCTGCAAGGATCTCCAGTTCTGATGTGTCTAACAGCTCCGCCGTACCCTCCTGTCGGCCTGCACAGGGAATTTCTTCGGCACGACATCCGCTGAAAGAACCTGGCAAATGCCAGATGCTGAACATTACCTTCAAAGCACGCCACGAGGACTCCAAAGTAAGCCGAGGTCATGGCCTTATCTGCTTCCATGGACCTCTTCTCTTCGGCAATCTGATTCGCCAGCACGCACTTTGCCTGGGTCAATACAGTTTCAGACGCAATGATGTCAAAGCTAGGGTTAGGAAAGCTGCCGTGGTCTGGATCGGCCGCACCTTGGAACAGGAGACTAACACCGATGTTCTGCGCCGTGATCTCAGGAGAGCTATCACCCGAGCTTGGGCAAGGACCGGCTTCTTGATTGTTGGCCGAGCACCAAGAATATCGCTGATGGCTGGAACATCGCCCAACTGGCCGAGTGCTTGGACTCAAAAACAGTAGCTCAGGTTATGATACAAGCAGTCGGCCTGGTGCCCTGGAAGTCCATTGTGCCAATTTCCGCAGTACTGCCCATTCGTCGTGGCGTAGAACCTGTCTCTCTTAAGACTTCAGGCGCGGCGCCGGAGCATAAACCAGGTCGAGAGGCATATCCGCGTGACTTGGCTCAGGTGCCGTGATGATCATCGTGCCCTGCAGTGGCATGGTTTGTGTTGGGTCTGGGTCTCTCATGTAGTTCATGAAGAAGCCGAGAGTGGATGCTGCTTGGAACATCTGAACCTTTCAAAAGCGGGCACAAGAGCCTTAGGCCCCATGGTCAGCCCAGAAGTGGCCATTTCCGGCTGTCTGTCCGGAGACGCGACGGCTGCTCTGTCATCTGCCATGGCCTCACGCAGAGGTATGTCTGGAGGTCGCAGAAGCCTTCCACCCTGTCATGGTTCATGGACCTGACCCCTGAGCACTCAGCCTCGAAGCGAAGGCGTCGAGGATGGCTTGAGCCGAAGCAGGAGGAGGCCAGCATATGCGGCATGAGCAGAAGTAGGCAGGAAACAAGCACGTCTTAACGAAAAACATCGGTGCGACAGTTGCCCGCTCTCCGACAGAGGCAGAAGCAGAAACGAGAGCTCGAATAGAAGCACCGTTCCATGTGGGACGCTTTCGTACATAGCACCGTTACAGGCGCCTTGTTTCACCTCCTTGCTTCCTGCAAGCTTTAAGCGGGCGCCTCTGCGACTGCTCCAAGTTTTTCAAGTCGTCCGCGTCGTCTCATGCTCTGCTTCTCGGCATGCGACCTGTGCCGCAGTGCTCAACCTGCATCAGCTCGTGTGGCTGACAGAGATTTCGAGAAGCAACGAGGCCGGTTCAAGCAATGCAAAGGCCCTGTCTGACTTGAATCATGGCATGTGGAAAAGCTGCGGAGGGGAGAGCAGGGCTGATCAGGTTTTGACACAGTGCTTGAATTCAACTTGGCTCACACCCGAAAACCGGGCACTTCGGTGTAGCTGAAGGGCACCTGCAGCAGCTTTCGGATGCTTCAGCAATCTTCAGCAGAGACAGCACATGCATTCATATCACAACATTCATTGCCTTCCTTCCCTTTTTGTAGGGCGAAAGGTTCTCAGCCACGTCGTCATAGCCTCGCAGGATGTACTCCTTGAAGGGATACACAACCTTAGGCCAAGCACGCTACTATTATGCTCGGATACATTCGGTTGCACGGAAAGCACAAATAAGCAGAGAGCATATTCCTTGAGAACTCTCCAGGCTGCCTTGAAGAACACCACCACATGCACCTTGGAAGACACCCCCAAAAACCCGTTTTCGATGTCCCGGCCTCCCGGCCCCCCTTTCCACTCAGAGGATGGAGCGGCAAGGAAGGCCAGGCAGTCCAACGCACTCCTCCAGCAGCTCGGCTCGGGGTCGCCCGCCTCTTGCCACAGGTCTAGTAGTTTAGTCCGTTTCTTCGGAAGGATTTATTTTAGGTTGGACGGATCCTCTCTCGGAATACGGAGGGTCTGTGCAGATGATTGACGATAGGCAATGCTATGTCCGTTGCCGTGCAGGTGCACCGCCTCAGCATCTGGTGTCAGCGTAGCCTGCCACATCGCTGCATGCTTACATGGCAGATGGAGGGATCTCGTGCCTGCGGGCTGGCAGCTCTGCTCATGCTCCGCGCTGAGGCTCAACCCTGGCAGCTTTCCTGCCGAGACATGTCAGCTGCCTGCCAGCTGATGCTGGGCTAAATTGAGGACAGCTGTGTTGCGAAGCTCCTAATGCGAGGTGGTTGGGTGTCTAAGAAATACTAGCATCTAGAGAGCCCATAGATTCTCAACAATTGGTTGGGCAGTCAAACGAGGTTCCAAACATCCCAGAGTGGATTGCGACTTGCTCGTGATCTCTGCAAAGCCTGGATTGGGTTGTTGGATGGAACTGTGAGCCATGCCAGGTGCGCAAACGATCCTCTGCTTCCGAATGGACACCGAAAACAGGCATGCACACGCGCAACGGGGGCTGAAACACCTGTCTCTTCATGCAGGGGGAAATTGGGAAGGGCTTGCCCAGGTGCTTCCGTAGTGGAGGAAGCAACACCAATGCAGGAAGCCAATACAACGGTAAACACTGCAAACGGTACTTGAGCGCAGGCGAACATGTTGTACTATAGGTGAAACACTGCTCCAAGCAAGGCTTGGGGAGCATGATCTGTGCATGCTTTTCTCCGAGTCAAACAAATAAGGTCGCAACACCCCAGTGCCCACTGTGTAGTCATGAAACTGTCTGGTCGCAATGCGCATGCTGCATGTGCCTTGCAACAAAACCTCTATTGCCTGTGCCCGAAGCGATGTGAAAGCTGAAAGGCCCCTCACCGCTTGCAAGGGGCTATATCTGACAGGCGATCCACCCAGAAGGTCATGAATCCACGCTCCCTCTGAGTGGAACCTTCGCACAACGGTCGGCAACTCCTCAGGTAGGGTCTAGTCTGATTGTCATCAACGCCTACGTGCCTCCGAAGCGCATGGAACGCTGTGCTAGCTTGGAGTCGAATTAGGCACATGGAGTCCAAGGAGTCTTGCTGAATCTGCCTTAGCTTAGCCTCCTTCAATCCGAACTCCACTGTGCCGGAGCACTGGGTACCAGAGGCTCACTTCATGAGACCTTGCTGAAGGCCAGTTCGTGGTGGCTCACCAACAATGACCGCAAGTCTGAACTTGGCGAGCGGCTGGCGATCCAGAAGCATGCAGGTGAGAAGGCCTCGCCGCATTTCCATGCACACGAAAGCCTGAAGCATGACCGTATAATACAGGTCAACCAGACGTCATGCTCTGACCTCGAGCAAGACGCAGGACTGCATTGGACGACCAGGAACGAATCCGGAAACAGCAAAAGACGACAAAAAGAGGCGGCGGAAGGAGAGAATTCGCGCGCGTCAGCCACTCTGGAGGATAAGACTGATAAGACCGACGAGCGTGGATTCAAGGACTGGAAAATATGCGGATGCGACCAGAGATTTGCGCGCGGCAGGCTACTCAGGCTGCGCAGCCACAGGTAATACCACTAGGACAAAGAACGACTCACGCACGAGTATCTACGGGAGTCAAGGAATTCCGTGCTGACCGTTGATCGTGAGGGTGGAGATTTTCTTTTGACCCTTTTTTTTTTTGGCCCTTTTTTTTTGCCCTGGCGAGGGGGGTTGGGCCTGCTGGTTTCGGGTTTAGGGGGGCGTTGCCTACGTTCCATGCGAAAACTGTTGGATGGGTTTCGATGGGCTTGGAGGTGTTAATCTCCCTTTTTCCCTCCTCCCACACCAAAATCCCGCACACCGGCCGCTCTCCAGGGGGGGTACCCCATGGCTGTTTGCAAGCAGCACCCAAGCCCCCAAAAGCATCACACCAGCCCATTGGTTTCATTTCTCCTGTTTCCTGCCTCCAACCCCTCCCCCCCCCCTCCCCCCCTCCCCCCCCCCCCCCCCCCTGCCCGCCTCCCCCCTCCCCCTTCCCCCCATCCGCCTGGCCCCCTTCTCAACCTTGGCATCTCCGCTCCAAAGTGCTCCTTGTTCCTACTTCGCGTGATCGTCGCGCAGCCTCGCGTGCTTCCGCCTCTTCCCCCGGTTTTGTCTCACAATCTTAAAAGCGCACCAGCGAAGCTTGTCAACTTGAAGGTTCCCCCACAATTAAAAGGTTAACCTTTTATGGGATAAGATACCGAGCCACTGAGAAGATGTTCCTGAAACCCTAACCCTAAACTAAACGGTTCTAAAGGTGTTGAACATAGGGTGTCAGGACGGTTTAGGTTTCGGGTTTAGGTCCTGCGGTAAGGCTTTGTTTGCACTTCCCATCTTGGCGTCTCCTTCTAGAACTAAACATACGGGCCTCGCGGACACCAAACGACTTTGCCTGTACAAGTGCATTCGGCTTCTGGTCTGTCGCCCACGGGGTCGGCGGCTTCAGCCGGAGGCTCTTAAATCGGGCAGCGCTTCGCTGCCCTGTATGGACTGAGCTATGGCTCAGACGAATGAGCTTCGTCTGCGAAGCAGAAGCCACGACTGACAGTGCCGCCGACCCGCCCCGGACCCCGCATCATCGGACTCTCGTTTCTCCCTCGGGCCGCGCCGGGCCTGGCCCGAAGGCGTCTCGGAACGCGCACGCGTTTTGCAGCCATTCCCCGCGGTGTGGCGGGTTTCGGGGCCGCCGTGGACGACGCCAGGAGGCGAGCCGGCGAGCATCATGAGCCCTCGGGCGCCCGCAACCGGCGCCGGCGGCGCGACGTGGGCGCGAAGTCATAACTCCCAAGTTTTTGAGTGGGTTGCGGAAGCCGCCAAAGGGCGCGCATCATGAGCATCAGCGGGGTCCGGCGGACGGGGGGTGCGGGCTACATGCAGGGCCGACGGGGGCTGAGAGCCTACGATCACCCACAAGTTGCGCACTTCGGGCCTACGTTGCACTTATCTATATACCGCGGGTTTCTGACAACAGCTCGCGCTGCCCGCACCTGGGCGCAGCCCCTAAATTCTGTATATTTTTGTAATCTTTTTTCTACATGAACAACTCTTTTCTTTTATTTTTTTGGCGGGGGGTGGGGTTGGGACTGGTGGTGTCGGGTTTAGGAGGGAGTTGCCTACGTTCCCTAGGAAAACTTCTAGATTCGGTATATTCCCCTAGATAAACAATTCTTTTCTGTAGTTTTAAGGAGCTTGAGCAAAGAGCTGCACGTCAAACAGCCAAAAAGAGCAACACTCATGTGTCTGCATAGTCGTGGCGCCATCACGAACCATGCTGACCTGGCTGACAGCTTGTCCGGTGGACGCAAGGCTTGTGACAAAGTTCTCCGCTGCACTCGCGCAGCCACATCCTGGCCACATCTATGGCAGGCTCACAAGCTTGTTGAAGATGTTGGGCCTGCGTTTAGACTCCAGACTCTTGACCATGCACATGTAGTAATGTAGTCTTTCCGTCAACAACTGCAGTAGTAGCCAGTGTGCGCGGTTGGCGTGCGAGTTTGATCGAACCTGAAGCTTGTTACGGATTTCATTTGAGTTACAATAATCAGGATTTATAGTAAATGACATACCTCCACTCCACACAACCAAGAGACACACGAAAACTGGGGTTTAGTTAAAGAATCTATTGTAAGTTACCATAATAGGGACCTCTAGTACTTAAGTAATAGGGTTTCTTCATTAGAAATCCTTTATCAAGAACCCAGACACAAAGCAGGCTCTCGCGACCGCGGCATGCCGTGCTCGGCTTTGCCACTTCGAGCGGTTCTGGCACCGTCCGGGGCTGGAGGCAAGGGTAAAAGTGGTTTGGGGCTGAGGGGCTTTAGGATTTGGACCTTAGGGTTAAGCGGGCTAGGCAGGTGGACCTATCATCTAGACATTCTTGGGACGCAGGAAGCCCGAAAGCACTTAAAACCCTAAAGCCCTAACACCCAAAACCCTGAAGCCTCAGAACCTTACACTAACCTAAACCCGAAACCCTAAAACCCAAAACCATAAGCTTTAAAGTCTTTACACTTGAAGCCCTATAGGATTCTATATATGAACCCCAAAAAGGAACTACTAAGGAGCCCTCGGGCAAAGCCTTAAACTAACCCAAAACCCTAAACCCTATAGATCCCTTATAGAACCCTTATGGGTACCGTTAGAAGAACCCTGAAGCCTTAAAGCCTCAAACTTGAAGCCTTAAACCTGACACGACATGAGCTAAACCCTAAGCCCTACAGATCCCTTATGGATCCCTTTAAAGGATTTGCGGGAACTGCATGCGTGTGTGTGTGTGTGTCTATATATATATGTATATATTCATGACTGTAAGTGTGTATGTATATTATATATATATATATATATATGTTTACGTATGTATTATTACTTCATATATCTGGTGCCTTCTTTGAATTATTTGTTCAAGCGTCGTTCTCACCGCCTTTAACCGAGGCCCACAAGGGGGAGAGAAAAAAAAAGTGCAAAGAAAAAAAAAAATCAAAAAAATAGGGTCCCCGTGGATCGTTGATGAATTTAATGCTGGAGCCGGAGCCTGGCTTCTTTACAGTAACTGTGCGCTGGACGTCTGCATGTGCCAGGGTGTTTACGAGAGCTTGGAGAGCATTTTCTTTTCCAAGTGCATGCCATTCCGAAGGACCGACTGCCCAGCAACACACATGATGCATTTCTATTCACGCTGCCGCCGAGTCCCGCCTCAATACACGAAAGATGTCGTGTGCGCATTGTATGTTCCAGGGCCAGGCGTGACATAGCTGTCCAGGTCGTGGACCTAGGACTTGATTCGCAGCGTCAGGTGTGTGAACACAGTTCGCTTAGGAACATGCAGACCCTAGCATGATGCTGCAGAGGAATGCATCGGCAGCTGAGGTCGGCGCCCGGCGCCTGGAGGCCGCAGAGTACTTCGGCCCGTTCTTGCCGACCGACATCGCGCTTTGCATGTCGTACCTCTCACCACGAAACAACTTTAGAGAAAGAAGCGCAATTCAATCCCAGGGCGGGGAGACGCTCCAGGTCCAGGCAGCATGAGGCTTCTTGCAGCCCCCGTGATATCATTCCGTATCGAAGTGCCGAAGCCACACCTTCCATTCCAGGCAGGGTCAATAAAAAGCATGATGCTGCATCTGCACCTTCCTTATCTTAAGGATCTGGCTTGGGAATCCCCATGAGCACAGCACCCAACTTGGGATCGTAGGCTCCAGGACCTGGCGTCCGCAGCATCGCAAGTGTCAACACGCTACAAGTACTGGCCGTGCTCGTCTGCTGCTGCTGCTGCTGCTGCTGCTGCTCTGCTGTGAATTGTAACAAGAATCATCATCATCAACAAAACATCAACAGCAGAACTACTAAATTACAGTTGACAATCATGACAAGGCCAAGCGGAGAATAAGAGTCAGGATATGGATCAAAATCGGGACAGGAATATAAAATCACTGAGAACAACAATCTGAACAAGAAACAATAATGAGAACACGGATAAGACAAACAATTGCCATATCGAACAATTAGTGCAAATACAGCTAGAGATGCTGTTAGTAACATTAGTAGTATCGTCACCAACCATGTCTACGAAGAGGGGGTGCTATGACACAAACAACAAAAAGTTCCCACAACGATTTATGTCCGCCCCAATGTCCCTTTCCCTCCTTGCCCGCCAACACCAGTTCGGAAACGAAAAACTATGCGAACTCAGGAGGAAAATAATGAAACCAACCACGACCATGAATGTAACCATCATCCATTCTTGTTCTCAGCATGGCAACTGTTACTACTTTTACCATTCGCACCGGCAGCAACCACGAATACACAAACAAATCAAGTCAAACAACCAACCAAACAAACAAACAAGAGCAGCATGAGCAGCAATCGTCAATGTACATGTTGGGCCTGGCTGCGATCTGCTTCTCATGTACGAGCTTGCTTGGCGCCTGGACAGAGAAGCATTCAATCAAGAGACATAGCAAATAGATGCCACAAGGCAGCAGTCCGCGCCCTCTGGCAGTGAACATCTTCGACTTTCCCAGAGTGCTCCGCTGCTCGTAGGCACCGGGTCCAGGAGCGTTCTGTGCGCAAACATGGCTTTGAGCGGAGTTCTTCGTGAGAAAGCAGAAAGCAGGAGCGCCTCAGGCAGAGGAGGGCCACGGCCGGCGTTGGCACCGGCAAAGCTGACCTGTCAAAGAGCAACTCAGCAGCTCGTGGTCATGCGTCACCATGATCCTGACAGGGCCTTTGGGCCAGCTGTGACGAGAGGATCTCTCGGGTTGTACCTGCGAAAGCGAAATGACGTCCTTTGAAAGTTGGTGCTTGCGGGCTTGTCAAACTTCAGCGCCAGGGTGCGCTCCGGGTCCTGGCTGCTTCTTGGTGGGCACTTCGCCTGTCGCTTGTAGTTTCCACGACGCACACTCATGACGTGTCATGGCCGAGGACCTGACCAACAGCAAAGCGTGTTGCACCACCGAAGCTGAACTTTGGCAGCGACTGACGGCACATCGTTAGTCTGACATCTATCCACTTGACTCCATGCAGAGCACTTTTTCGAGCTGCGCGAGCTGGGAAAGCGGGTGTTCGTTGCCTGCACAGCTTGGGAAGTCCCTGCCCTTGAAACTAAGGAGACACGAAAATGGCTTGCTGATGCGGTTGTTAAGTGATTGTAATTACGACCCCGGGTGGGCCGGCGTGCGGGTAGCACTGAGGCCATGCGTGCTGGCACATACGCACATACAAACAAATCTCAAACCATCTCGGCAGACAGTGGGAAATCATAGTGCGATAGATGGTCACAGAAACACAGCACAAGAAGATCGTGTGCACCAGAGTCCTGGCCTTGCCTTGCAACTATTTACAGACAGGCTCACCAATGCTGGCTCTGTACATGGACAGCGCCCCTATGAAACACAACAAGGTAGTGTCAGTGTCTGCATAGAGACTTGCAGAGGTTAAGTCATGAAGCCTAGAAGTGACGAGAAGACACAGGACTGCAGTGACTGAAGCTGAAGTCTGCTTTCTTTGGGGCTTCATCGGAGGCTGCTGCCGTGGAACTCATGGTCTGAGCGCCGCGGCCAAGAAGTAAAAGGCTAATGGCAATGGGCGGTTGGAGCATTCCGCTCGGGCAGAGGAGAGCACACCTCTGACTTGGCTCAAAGCCAAGATGGAAGAGTGGAAACCACAATGGAGAAGACTCCATGCAGGGACGACTGGAGACTGGGGTTTTGAGGCCTGGCCTTATAGGACCCTGCTGGATTGGTACCTGAGATTACCGAAGCATGGGGGGGTTTGCTGGCTCCCTCTGCAGTGTCCGAGGCGCCGTACTTTGCAGCTCCATCTGTGCACTCAGATAGGGGCAGCCATCTCCGCCGCTAAACGCCAGTGCGAGCTCTGTCACCTCAGTTTTCTTCACGGCTTCCTGGTAGGTCAAGTCTTGAGCCCTTTGAAGCTGAGCTTGCCGCAAGCGCTTGTGCGCTTCGCTTCATCGCTGGTAGCGCTGGTTGCGGCCACCGCGGAAACGCTGCTGGCGGTGCGGCGGCACTGTCTGCTGCTGCTTCTTCTGCTTGTTGGACTGCTGGTGGCAGTTCTGCTGGTAGTACTGCTGGGGCGATTGCTGCTGGTACTGCTGCTGGTACTGCTGATTCTCACCTCAGTGCTGGAAACACAAGGCACAGGACCGCATGAATCCGGTCGGCTTCGACTTCTCATGCGGGGTCCAGGCTTAGGCTCATGCCTCCACACTCACACCCAGTTCTCAGGTCCGGACTTGGCCAGCTCTTGTAGAATCGGTGAGCTCCCAAGTCTGGGGCCCTCAGACACCGCTCCACTCCGAAAGTCAAGAGCTGCCATGCTGTGAGCGGCTGAGACCGCTGCAGTGTGTGCAGCAAAGCTTGGCCATGCTTGGTTTTCGAGATAGGGCCAATGTTCTCCTCGTAAAGGCTCAGGGTACCCGGTACCCGGTCCGAAGCTTTGTGGGAGCCTACTGACAAGACTTGAAGCCGACGCACCTTGAGGAGGCTTCGCACCTGCTTCTCCAGGATAGGATGACGCTGACAAACCTCGAAAATGACAGCCACCCGTCGACAGCGTCGACGGAGCGGCCCCGCAGATCTTGACCACCCTCTAGCCACCGTCTCTGCCTATCCAGCCTGCCGAGTGACGTGGAAGAGGCTTTGGCACGCAGCGAAACCTGGACTGCAACAGTTGCTGCCACAACACCATGTTGCGATACATCTCGGACCAAAGCCTTTTTGCATGGTCGCCATATGGCCAAATGTGTAGGGGTGGCTGGCAAGCCCCACGGCGAGAAGAGTGCTTTGATACGCATTGGCATGAATGAGAACCTGCGCACCATGCACTTCTCTGAAAGGCCACAGCTTGCATCCTCTTGGACTGCCCAGGCAGGGGCCTTGTTGAGCACCCCGCATCCACTCGGGTCGACGGCAAACTGATGGAGGTGGTTCAAGACCACGTTGGCCTGAAAGTTCTTATTGCTGCATTCTCTATGGCAAGACATGCAAAACAGCGAAAGAACCTGAGGACACTCGACAGATGTAGTTGCGCCAAGACCAAGCTTTATTGATCAAGGAAAACTTTAAAAGCCAATCACATTCAGCTGCTGACCAGACGAGGTGGCCGGCGACGAAAGCAACAACGCAACGACTCACGAGACCGGCTTTATCGTTTGGACAACGGCGTCGGCACCTGCAAAGACCTGCAAACCTGCTATACCCTGCTGAGCTGTCACAACGGGTGAGGAAGAAACCTCACGGTTAAGATTAGATAGCTGTTCAGCTTTCAAGATCTGCCCATTGAAATCCTTGCATTCACAGAGACAAGCTCACTTGCAGTAAGGCAAGAACGATCTCTTGGCAGCAGCTGGGTCCGCCGTACTCCACGCAGTGTTGCACGGAGTAGTTTCCAATTGCCTTCGCGTATTTTGAAACCCCGTAGCTGCATAGGCTTTCAAGTAGCTGGGCTCCAGACGTGACATGAAAGTTCGGCCGTGTGGCGAACGACATCCTTCAGAGATGCTTTGATTTGTTCTCGGGTCTGCCCCAGCCTTTCGCCTGTAGTCTTGCACAGCTCGCCACAAACACTAGATTCCTCGATGAAAGGGAAGGAGTATTGCATCGGAAAGAACTCAATGATGCGCTCCAGCACACGGCATGCATACCTTGAACGGCTGCCAGCTAGCTCATTTGCGTGGTCATATTTCCGATAGCGTCGCCTGTGCTTGGCAATCTCAGACGGGCAGCGCCACCTGACCAAACAGGAAAGCAATCGCAGCTCGGTTGGCCAGAGCAGGTGACACGAAAGCGGACGAACCGAAGCTTAGGAGCGTATAGGTGTGATGTCATTTAGAGCTTGAACATCTTTACAAGGCGAGTCCACAGAGAGTTCAACCTGGTCCCGGCCTGAGCATCTCCTCGATCACCTGTCAGATGCAGGACTCATGGCTGCTGGCTGAGGGCTGAGGTGGAGAAACCGCTGGGCGCAAGACGAAATACAAACGTTCGGAGCTGAGCACCCGGATGGCTTGCTGAAGCACGAAGTTCCCGTGAGGTGATTGGGCAACCTTGTTGGCCAGATCTGGACACTCCCGTTCCACTGGCAGTCTCTCAAAGCTGAGATCATGGCTTCGGCCACGTGGCCACGGAGCTGGCGCAGGATTTCCTCTTGCTCTTCGAAGGTGCCAGCCTGCTGAACAGATTGAAATCCCGCAAGCTTTCCAACCGAACAGAAGACGAAGCACCAGCAGTCGTTCTGTGCTCGACACTCACGTCATTCAACATTCGCTCTTTGCCTTCCTTGCCCTGAGCAATCGTGCCTGGAGCAGTTGCTGGAGCTCGCGGCAGCCTGCATTAGTCGAGCAGCGCTCGTTCGCGGAGTTGCACATGCCTTTGTCAAAGTTCATGCTGCAGTGCCAAGCTAGCCTGCGCTGTCATTGGCTTTGCGCAAGACCTGCAGTCCAATCCATGAAGACACAAGTACGAGCCTTCCCAACAACTCCTGCCTCCATGCGGATACCTGGGATGCCTGTGGGAGTTGCGGGAGGCGAACTGGTCGTGGAATTACTGGACATGGGTGTCGATGCAGTAAATGTGGACATTGACATAGGTGTCGGTGTCGATGCAGTGGTTGGAGTCGAAGCCTGGCGTGAAAAGGAAAAAAGAGAGGAGCGGACCGAGTCCGAGCCCGTGAACATGCCGTGGGTGCAGCAGATGCCGGGAATGCGTAGAACACCTTGATGGCACTGCATGCAGCAACAGTTCTGAAGCCTTCTCTTGTGAAGAGCTGGGACGAGGGCTTTTGGAAACGTCACCCACCCTGGATGGACGGCAAATCCACCAAATCCTGCAGGCAGTCAGCGGAGTTAGGAGACCTGTTGCTCCTTGTCGTCGCCACTGCGTTTTCCAGCATCCGGCAACATTACAGAATGCGGGGAAATTGGAGCACAAGTGGCTGGATCCAATCGTCCTGAACCTGTCGCCATGTTCATGTTTACGTTCGTCATGTTCATGTTCATCATGGCTGCGTCGAGGTCAGTCACAAGCGACACGGCTTGCAGGAGACCTGGCAGTACTGCGCTCGGCACTCTGTTCCAATTTAACTCCGGGACTCCGAGCCACACGTCAATCATACTCATTCTGCAAGCCTGGAGGAGGTGCGAGGTCGTTGTGCGTCCTTGGCTGCGCACGGTTCGCAAGACCCCGGGTCGTGGGGCGGTCAGGATCTCTGCTCGGCCCAAGTGGCCGCTGCGCACAAGAGCCTGGTGGGCAACTAGGCAAGCTCGCAGGCTCGCGAGCAAGTTTGAGCCAAGTCGGCTGTGATGCTGCCTGCGTGTTGACGTCGAGCTAAACTCTACGGCGACTCTAAGTTACGCTGCAGTATGACACTCAGGACGCATGATCAATCAGAAAGGACTGCTTGCTTCACGGCTCCTTGCCTTGTACCGGCCTCCACCATGCCCTGTGTGCCTATACAGACTCTCCAATGGAAAGAGGTAGCGAAAGCATGCTGAGCTAAGGAGGCGGCAGGTTGTAGGATCCCGGTGCCGGAGTACCGCTGCTAGCGATGAACGTGCTCGGCCTCGCATCTTGCATCGTAACGCACCACTGTACCGGCTGCGCCACGGCTCCGAGCTCTGGGGCTCCGGCCCCTTCTGGCCAAAGGACCACCTGGCTGCAGCACGACTCGCCGGCTGAATGTCTTCAAGACAAGTTCGGCCTCTGTCCTGTCTTGTGAGTTGAGACGGTGTGCATGAAGGTGGGCCCTTTTTTCACCTCGAATACCACGACTCCTATGACATGGGACCGTCAGTCGCACTCGCGAAGCTCCAAGCGTAAGTTAGCGGCGCCATCTGTTGTCATGCTGGAGAACTGCAGCTTGCTCTTCAGATCCTCTGATGAATGCGAAGTGAAGCCAGGCCTGACAGAAAACTCGGCGAGGCAACCTCTTATGTTTCAGGGACCCCTTCAAAGTGCCCGACGAACTTCGAATGCTCCGGTTCATCGTTTTTGGGGAGGCACTTTGGAAAGAATCCTTGGCAAGATGGGTGCTCCTCCGCATCAATGTAATCAAGATCTTTCTGAGACCCGGGCGAAAGACTGGTCATGATGCATGTCTTGGTGATCCTGCGATGGCTCTCCCATGTCCTCAGCATCACACGCAGCACGCGCTTATCACCACCAGAGTTCTGAAGTCCGGGAATACGACATCCCGGACATCCTTCAGAAGTTTCGCAGCAGTGTCCTCTTCGTCAAAACGTGTTGAGGTGGCTTGAATAAAGGAGCAAGCCTTTGTTTTGCATCTGCTTTCCAAGCTTGACGTTTCGGCCTCTGCATCAGCTTCGTCAGCATGCGATGGGTCGCGATGCGGAACGTCCGGTGGTGCATCAGGTGGGCCGTCTGCTGCAGCATCATGAGTTGGCTGTTGCCCAGCTCCGGGCAACGTCTCGTTTTCTTGGCTTGCGCTTTGCGCGTGCTCTGCTAGTGCCTGTCCGTGGCAGGAGCACACTCCAATGCTCTGTGTCCTGCGGACATTAAGTATTGCCCGGCCTGCGAGATCGCCTCATCATGGTCGGCAGCCACAGCATCAACATGTTCTGCTAGCGCCTGCTCAATGGCAGTGTCCTCGACAATGCATGGCTTCTCCGGGAATGTGTGCAAGGCATGACCAATCGCCTGCTCCGCTGACTGTGGCTCCTGAAGTTTTGAAGCTGACCAACACAACAAAGTGAAAGGAACCCGGCCTCTGCTGGATTTTGCTGAGGAACTGGATCGGCAACCGGCTCGGTTGCTTCTTGGGGCTTTGGAGGCTCTGCTGAGCTTTCTGCTGGCGACTCCTCGCAGAGCGCAGAAAGATCTGCTCCTGCCGCCCATGATCCCAAACTTGGCACCTCCGGCGGAGAGGCATGCTCTGCTAGCGCATCGGAAACCGTCGCGCGGTTGTCGGCCTCGAAACGGATACAAGTACTTAAGACTTAAGACGTGAAAACAAACGAAACAGAATTCACCTCGTTGGCGTCTGCGTGTTCGGCAAGGGCTTCCTGAACCACCTCAAGGGCTGGGCAGAGCTTCAGCGAGAAGACAAAGAATTCAGTTCCAGGAACCCCTGCATTCTCTGCATTCCCTTCCTCGGTCGCAGAAGGCCCATCTGCCTCGCAGCCAGATTAGTTGAACATGGAGCAAAGCGGTGTTATCCTAATCCTTCTTCGGCTTTATGTTTCTCGGATGTGGCCATGGCACATGCAGCACATGCACATGCCTGGGGCGCTACAGTTGGAAGGTCGCCTTAGGGTTGTTACAGGAAGCTCCGGGGCCTGTGCAGATTCTGCCGGCGCTTCCGCTGGCTCACCAGGGGCACCTTCTGCGACCGGATCCACTTGCGAAGCCGATGCCTGCGATGCCTGCGATGCCTGCGAGGCAAGGAGCAGCGCGAGACTTTACATCCGAACCATCGAAACTGATCATGTTCATGCCTCGGCTCCTGCTGTCTCCGGAGCCTTTGTCAGCAGCCACATCGACACTTTCGCCATACTCTATCCGATCCCTTCAAAGGACAAGGCTTCGGCAGCTCCAGCTGTTTGAGAGGGCTCCTGAGTGACGGTCTCAGCCTGCTGCAAGGAAAACAAGAGGTAGCCGTGACGACGCGATGAAACGCACCTCGTTGCCGGCTGGAGCGGAAGGCACGGAAGGCTCAGGGTCGCCCTGTGGAGGCTCCGCTGCCTGCGGCTTGTGAAAGCTGACGCCCCGCATGCCCAGGTCTTCAGACCGCTCTTGCCGCACATGCTGCGCACAGGCAGGCGTCCCGCCTCGTTTGTCTCTGCCATGGCTGGCACAGGGTGCCTCGGCGACGCAACGTGAACGTGACTGCTCCTTTCTCTAGGCACTGCTAAGCCACGTACCGTTGCCCTGTGGCTTGGGATGGAGAGATTGAGCCGAAGAGCGCACAGGATCAGTTCGTACAGCCCCGCAAGCCAAGACGAAGGCCAGCTGCAGTTCCGACAGAATTGCAAGCAGTCGCAACGTTTTTCTCCGAGAGACCTGTGAAACAGTCCATGCGCTGGCTCGTCTCACAGTTCGCCCTTCTGTCCCTTGCCCCTCCTGAAGCAGTCTGAAGCATCAATCCGACAGCATGAGATGCCAGATATTGCCAGATGCCGTGGCCTCGGAGCTTCGCAGCGCCCGGCCTCACGGCCTGAGGCGCTTGAAGTGCTTCAAGCGCCATCGCAAGCGGATCCAGATGCCTCAGGTGCTACCAAGATACAGACTTTTCGGATGATCTCGGAGAACTCAGCGCCGTCCTGCAATGCTGACGTCCGTCAGGTCCGAGCGGGAGGTTTCACCCGGGCCCCAGCCTCCTTCATCTCCACGGCTTGCGCAGCCATCTCTGCGCCATTGCGACCAACGGTACTCTCACAGGCAATGAAAACTGCCTTCTCAGCACCGTCGTGTCCAGGGGAATCCAAGGAACGAGCTAATGCGACACTTCCGATGCCTCATTCCGCACATGGTAGGTGTCTACATCCCTCTCCGTTGGCCTCAGCTGCCACTCTCAAGGCCAAGAAGGGATTCTATAGAGTGTCTAAGCCAGGTGCAAGCGCTCGCTCTGTTCCAGGCACCACGCCGGACCTGACGGGGCAGCGGGGCAGCCCGAGCCATCACAGCCGAAGCGCTTTGCTCTCGAAGTCTTCAGCCCTGCGCCGGCGGTAGCGTCAGCTTCCTCCTGGATGCCGAAGAAAACACCGGGCACACCCGACATCTTCAAGATTCTGGGAAGCGCACGGCGGCTGGGGCACATTTTCGCGCGGACCATCCCCTGCGGAGCTGCAAATGCCAGGATATGCCAAAAAGTCTGGCAGCTTTGGTCTAAGTCAGCAAGCTTGGCGGTTTCGCAGCTACTAAGACTAGTTACCAGTCCAACCTGAAGGATCTCTTTTTGCACCTTCCTGATAAGGTCTGACGGACATCCGGCTTGGCACCTTCACCAGCCGGCCGTCTGTCAGGACAGGGTGCAAGCATCTGGCGGCACGAGTCCGCGCGAGAGTGCCACGAGCTACCAGTATTTGGTGCAGAATAATGGAGCGCTCTCAGTTTGAGCGCAGTCTGCACTTGCCTCGATCATCCAAACAGCAGCAACGAGAATTGACCGACGCATGAAAATGCCATGCTAAGAATTCGACAGTGCTAGCATGCCTGGTTCAATTGCTGCAAACACGGCAACGAAACATCGCGTCACGGCTTCGAGCGTTGGGCCTGGATAGGCGTCAAATTCTCGGCCTTCAAGGACTTGGTCGCAGTTGCGCCTTCAAGGCTCAAAGAAACTCAGAGCTCCTCACGGCCATTCCCGAACTCAACATGCACCGAACTGAGCTCGTCTCGCAAGCAGGCTTGGGATGGCTTTTCGAGGTGTTTGGATCGATGCGACCATTTTCGACTTCGCGGACTTCGAAACCGGGATGCCACCGGAGAGGGCACATGCTCCCCGTCCCGTCCGATGCAAGGAGCTCCGCTGCCGCTGCTCGGACCAGTGCGCTGCGGTACATCTTGACATCGGTACATAGCCGTCACCATTCCGGTTCTTGCCTGATCTTCCGCTGGCCACAGTATGATGGCCATGCTTTGCCACAGCAGGCTGTCCGCTTCGTTGGCCCTGTACTGGGCTTCTCTGAGCCCCATCCCTGAAATCCGAATGTTAGCAACAAAACAGGGTGACAAGGCCTGGAAGGCGCACGCTGTAGCGGCCATCGCAGCTTCCAGCACCCTCGCAATACAATCGGGTCAAGAGAAGCTACATTGACATGGTCCTCTTCAACTGATACCCGATGAAAAAATGCTGGCCTCAACGGTTCCTTCAAGTCCATTCAGCTTCTGACCAGCTTCACCTGTAGCTTCAAGAGCTGTGCAGCTGTCAGGGTATAGCCGCTAGCCGTGTCAGGAGGCTCCGGCTCGCCAGGTTTTGAACCTACACAGCGTGTCTAAGGACTCGTAATCCCTCGTCGGCTCGTCGCTGAGCGCCGGGCGCGAACCCTTTGGCCCGGTGCTAAAGGCGGAAGAGGCTCCTGCGGCGCCTCCGGCGCGCCGGGCCCGGCGGGGTCGGCGGCGCTGTTGGTGCCAGCAGGCTCCTCTTGCGGTGCCCGACCTCTTGAGCGAGAAACGAGACCTTGCTTCAAGCGAGGGGTTTCAGCCGGCGCCCGGCTGTCCGGAAGTCGGATCAAGATGATCGTCTCGTTGTCTGTTCCTGCCAGGACAGCAGACCTGATGATGTTCACTGCAGTGTGCCCCAGCCTTCTTCGATCGGTCTGCCACGTGATGACCTGCCCAGACTTCGATGAAGGTTGGATACTCTAGTCTCTTCGCGAACCCTGAGCGGCAGACCGAGCACAGCATGCATGGAGCACTTCAGTCCTTACGTGGGCGCTAAAGCACAGCTCCCGCACATGGCAAGCCGTGATACAGGCAATGCAGCACACTTTCACCAGGCGAAACACGCTATCTGTTCCAAAGGCATTGCCATCTTCAGCCGCGGCCAGATAAGATTCGCTATGTCCTCCATGTCCACTTGCTTACAACATTCAGCTGTCAAACATGACCAAGTCAGGTCTGCGTCCTGATTCGAACATCGTTCGAAGAGGCCGTCGCAAGCGAGGACCAGAAGCTCTTGCGGCCTCAATTTTTGAGAAGCATTTGTTGCTAGCCCGATCCTAACCTCCAAGCCTCGCAATGACAATCATGCTCGGTGTTGTTTCAGGCGGTCTTCAGACGATGAAGCTCTTACTCTCCCGACTATTGCCCTCAAGATACTTCAAACGAAACGTGCAAGACTCATTCAGGAGCAACAGTGCTCAGTGGATGCGTAGGCCCGGATTTGGACTGCCACGGCCCGCACAAAGCCCAAACCCCAAGACATGGGGGCTTTTGCATACAGTCAGTTTGGCGAAACCGTCCGGGTCGCAGCAAATCTGCCCGCACTCCCCCATACCGCAGGCAGTGCAACTCAAATCCCAAAGAAAGGCTGACGGGTTTCGGGTCCGAAGACAAGCAGTGACCATCCGACATGTTCGAATCCACCGGCAACCACAAACTTGCCGCGCACTGTGTACGAATCTTTTGCGGCGGAAACCGCCTCCACCCCGAAGGGCTCATTATGATTGAACTTCAGCAAGGGTGTCTCGCAGGGTATCAGTTCAAGGTCAAAGGCATCTATGGCTTCCCAGTCAGCGTCAGCGCGGTACGTGCTGTCATCGGCACACACAGCAAGTGTTGCACTCCACACGAAGGATATGTCCAGAACGGCTGGCCGTTTCGTCCGGCTCCACTCATGTGCACCAGATTTGCAGCAGACTCACAGCCCGCATGAAGCATTCGACGAGCACGAACGAAAGTTGTGGAACCGGTGGCATCAGGCTTCATGACAGGGACAAGAACAGGTCATGGGCGAGGCCATCAATGCCTGCGGATTCGTCCTGCTTGAGAGCAGCTCGAACGCAGCTTCACCACAACATCCCGAATCTTTCCTCGCAGCGCCTGGGTGCAAGACTACTGCAGGGAAGCATTTTCATCTCCCGCCGCAGCGGTCATGATGCTTGAACTCAGCACGAAATGCCTCCACGAGGTTTAGACGAAGCTGCATTACACACCTGCATGGGTCCCCCAAATCAAAGAAGCGCATCGTGCTCGCAGTTCAGGGCATTCTTTCGAAATGCTGACTTTCTGAAAAGGAAGCAATTTCGAAAAAGCAAACGGAGAAAGAGTATGAAAGAGTAGCATGACAACGCATACTACGACAAAGGAAGTTTGCGGCCGTCGTTGCCTCATTGTTGAATTAAGCTTTTCTGCATGCTGCTTGAGGATCCTTCCGCCTCGCAAGGTTTCATCCTCCTTGCGATCCTTGGGGAAACTGGAGCTGCATGGGTGCAAGAACTTCCTTTGTCATCCTTCCATGCAAGGAGGACTCGTCATCATCTGGAGTTTGAGTCGCCGGGCTGGGCATTCTCACCATGCTCCTGCCTTGCTATAGTCACCTGAGTTGCAGGCACGAAAACGACGGGACAACGGATAACATCTGGGTTTCACTGCAGCATACAAGGTTGGCGCAGCTTCGAAGGATCAGTACAAATGAGCGCAGGGAGGAAACTAACAGCCGTAAAGTCTGACAAGCAACGCTGAGCGTCGGAAATCTAGTGTGGGACGTTCTGGTGGCCATGCCGCCCAACATCCCTGCTGGCCACCACGGATGTTGCCGGCAAAGGGCGGCACACTCTTAGCGTGGGCGCTCCAAGGATACTCTACACAACACTGTGGACTGCGGGGTACTCTCGTTCCATGGATACAGTGCGGTGTATTTTGTTGGCGTGACTGTATTCTGCGGGATGCTCTGGCTTGGCACTCCGCTGGTCTGCGCTCTGACGATGGGCACACCAATCTCCAGAAATACTCTCCGCGATACTCTGGATGGGGGAATGCGAGCGACAGATTCCCGTTCGCAACAGATTCGGAACACATGACGGCGGCGTCAGTGCCAAGGGCCTAGCCAGCCGCGGAAGGCGGTCCGCGTCACATCTGGATAAGCTATCACCTCCGTGCAAAAAAAACATCCGGGCGAGAGTTGAAGATCGAACTCAGTAGTCCCGTCTGGAGAAAGCCCGCCACATTTCCATTGCATGCCACTCCGGTCTTTTTGCGACAAACCCGGCCCTCTTGCCTTCTGCTTCTCTGCGGGCAGGTGAGCGGTTGACTTGTAGTTGAAATCACCAAATGCCTGCGATGTCAATATGTTACCTGTTCTGGTGCGGGACTGCATGTACAGACTGGAGCTAAGCTGCACGCCCTCGAAAGGTTCAGGTTTCCGTCCACGCGATGGCAAGGCCCAATTTTAATGACCTGCAATGCGATGATATTTGGCCAGCGATGAGGGTCCAAGAGACAGGACGAAAGACACTTGCCAGTGCCTTGCCTGGCCACCAGCCGCCCGGATTCGGTTTCGCTCTATGGGATTTTCAGGTTTGTGATCCTCGGACAGAGCGATTGCCTGGCACGGCATTCCATAGCCACTGTTGCAGATGTGCATCACAGCGGTCACAATGCCCGGCCTTCCCATCCCGGATGAGAAGAGCACGAGAGTCACCCACATTGCCAACGATTACCTGAAAGCTCTTCGCTTTTAAGGCCCACAAGGATCTTACTCCAGCCTCTCGCCCGACGAGGTCCACGGCGGCGGTCACACATGTTGAGCCGCATGCTGCAAACGGGTGCAGAACACCCGGGAACAGCCAACCGATTCCTCATCCAAGGCTCAGATCCAGATCCCGAAAGCCCGAAGAAAGCTCCGGCTCTGAGGCAACTACCCCAGGAACCGCTTCGCAGTTTCTCGTCCAAGCGCGGGAGCGAGTGGCGAACGACCTCCACACGGAATTCGAGAGCTCTTGGGCTTTTGCCCTTTTCCCATCCACAACTGCCTCTGCGAGCACTTCCGCTTGAGACATCTTGCTAGTGTGGATTCTTCTCCTGCAGGCCTTGCACGTCGAAAGGCCCGAGACTCAGACACCACAAACACAAAAGATCGGCACCTCCATTTCTCGGGTCAACAGCTTCGAGGCCAAAGTTGAGACGTCGCTGCCTTGTCGAAACGCTTCGTCTGGTCCCCTGCGTGCAAGATCAGGTTCTTGCCTCCATGGCCATCCAGCACCGCAAAGAGTAGCGCATCTGGCAGGGTCAAGGTGCGAGCTCCAAGCTGCATGACTGCAGATCTCCCAAGCAAGCCTTCAAAAGCATCTTTGCAGAAATCGGCTGCCACGTGCGCATCCTGTGGGTTTCCAGTGCTTCAGAATCGTCCGGCGCTTTGCGGCAGTGCTGTACGCCTCCATATTTTCGCGCCAACCCCTCATCTCGGCTGACACCCACGACACGGAGTTGTCGCGGAAGCTGCCAGACCTCAAGGCTCGTGGCAAAACATGGAGGGGAAAAGTTGAACTGCGCTTCGAGTGCTGGGCTCCACGTAAACTCGCAAGTCGGGCGTGGGCTGCACATTGCAAAGGGAGCTCACCTGCTTCGCCAGGGGCGCACTGCCGCACGTTCGGTCTACTTGTTCAGCTTTCAGCCGCCTGGCGCAGTATCCAAGTAGCGAGGACTGCGGCGACCTGCAGCACTGGCCGGCTGAACACAGCCCGGCCCCAGCCCCTCCGCCTTCTGTGCAATTGTTTCGGCCCCCCCCCCTTGAGGCTTCAGGCTGCATAGAAGCAGATGGAGCGAAGCAGTACAGGGGCCTGGCTCCAGTGGCACTGGGACCCAGAGCGCAGGACAATGAACCGTGCCGAGTCCCGCACCAAACCGACGACCTGAGTGGAAGGTGGGGTGCGAAGTGCGAAGCAGCAATGCGCAGCAAGCAGAGAGAGTGTAGCCAGCCTTGTCCTCGATCAGGAAGACAATGTACAAGCTGAACACAGCTCGACCTTGGGTAGAATCCGAGGTCTGCAGCTCCCCATCCATAAGCAGTTTGGAACCCGTGGCACAGGCTAACACAGGCCATGAGGAAAGGCGCCCATGGCCAGGACAAGGACCTCAGAGCTCGGACTATCTCGGACTCGAAGGGCGCCCTCGGCGGCCCATGGCGGCCCTCCTCGGCTCCAGGCCAGAAGCTCTTCCGGTCAGGTTGCCCCATTGACTAAAGCCTCGTGGCTGATTCTGTGACGGTCCTTCCGTCTTCAGGTCTCGAATCTCAAGTCCAAGCACGCCACCGGCACCACTGTGCGGCATATCAGGCTTGTTCATGCCAGGAAACGGCTGCGAGATTGTCAAGGAGTCAAGGCAATGCGTGAGCATTACAGCCCGACTGAACCTCCAGCTGCAAACATCGCAAGCACACGTAGAGGCGCAAGCCTGAGGAGCAGCTCGTCCTGATCACCGGGAGAGATCACAGCAGCCAGAAGTGACTGCACTCTGCCGCGCGTCCTTAAAGTGCTTGTTGCAACCTCGCCTATTGCGATTGACGCGATTCTCCTGCAAGCTGTGCTCAGACGGGCCCATTCACGCTGCCTGGCCCTCGCCAATCCGACGCTAATCACATGGCAAAGCCTCGCCTCGCATCAACGCCTGAAGCCTCTACACTCTACCTGGTATGGCCCGATGCACGCGGCCAAGTCTCTCCGGATCCCCCCAACAGATGCAACTAACGCCCCGATGCGCAAGCTTGTCTTTGCACTGATGCTGCTTACTGCTGTGGCTTGCCAGGCACCTTGGCCTCTCCCAAGCACTGGCTCGTCGTGGTTAGGGTTGAGATCAAAAGCTTAAAGACGGGGCCGGTGAGACATGCAACAACTGCCACGCCAGAAGGGCGACCATTGCCGCTCAAGATCCTGCAGTTGTACCGCAAGGCGGCTTTACCTTCTGCCTTTCCGCAGCGCGTACGGTGGCGACCACGGAACGTCGTCCACACCTCACAGCTCGCAAAGTTCACCAGCCTGAACCAAACAGCGGCTCAGTCTGGGTGTGAGACGGACGCCCCATTGCTTGTGCAGCTCCCGTTGGCTGTGCAGGAGCTCAAAATCCAAAGCTATGGCTTTGCGCAGCATCCTGCCAGTCCATGTCCATGTTGGTTTCAATTTACAATAGAATGCGGTGATCTACCTGCATACCGAGCTCAACCGTCGATTTCAGGGTACAGTGATCCTCCTCGAAAATCCAATGCTGCATCCCACTCGTGTCACCTGCCACAACCGACAAGAATTGTAGGCTTGTGTTGTCTTTCTTGACGTGACGACCCACCTGCGAGGCCAACGTTCCAACCTCAAAACGAACTCAGACAAGAGTTGGTCTCGGCACGAACCCTAGCAGCCGCAAAATTTGGCAAATCTGTTTGGTAGATGATCCGATACGCATTTGCCTGCGAGAGTAGTTCTGCACTCCTGGCCGCCGTTGTAGGCGCATGACGTGTCTCCGACTTGAGCAATGGTCACAGAGGTATGAAGCTGACATCTGCCGCCCAACATGCATGTCTCTGGAGTATCTGCCCGGACGAAACTCCCGTATCTTAACTGTCGTAACTCGGATGGCTCCACTGTAACGAGATTGTGATCCTTTGTCGGCGAAACAGATCAACCTAATCGGTCCGCTTCTTCGTGCGCCACGCCAGGAACGAAATGGCTTGTTGATCTGTTTGGCGCTGGGGGGGAGATATAAGTCGCTGCCTGACTCGGCACGACAGTGACATGCTGGGGAGCTTGCCACCACTTGCGCACGGCTGAGCATGTCCACGTCGAACATCACCTTTGACAAGTCCGCGTCGTGAGGCAGGCAGCTAGAGCAGGTAGAGCAGTTGCGGCTGCCTCAGCGGCCATTTGTAGCGCCGTGGCATCGCCGGGCAGAAATCTCGCAACCTGCCGGGCTGGGGCTTAGAGTCGCCAATGTACGGGTTCAGGGATGCTGGCGGACAAGGGGGCGATTTTCGTCAGGACCTGTCCACACAGTTTTTTCATGCAGGCATCACGCAGCACGCGCGGAGCCGGTTGCACGATCGTCAGCGTGCGTTGCGGGATCCTCGTGCTCATCCAGGAACTGGTGGGGCTTGCAAGCATGAGGACAGCCGACATGGGGCGAGGGAAGCACAGCCCGGATTCATGTTGATAGGGATCCTCCATGGCTGGTTTGTCGGAGGCTGACAGGCTACGCAGCACTCCGCTTTGCAAACTTCTTCGAAGCTCGGAGCAACACAAGAGTTGCGACACGAGTTCCTCACGGTGGCGCCATCTGTGTGTTTGGGTTCATCTGTGTCGCCGCAGCAGTGAAAAATCCCTGACGAAAAACCTGGCTATGTCACTCTGTCACTCGCAGCCTTTAGCACAAGCGCATCTGGCAACCTGTGGTGCTACGTGGATATACCAGTGCCTTCCTCGGTGCAGACACGGTTTGCCATGCAGCTCATTCCGGCCTCGACGCCGACAGCACTTCGACGCTGGGTCTCAGAGTGACGAAGCCCAATGACCTAGCCAGCCCGTTCGTCAGTCTGGCTGGTTCACCCTTCAGTCTGCGCGAAACCATCAGCAGATGCACCTGCATAGCACCCTGCTTCGCTTGCATCACGCCATTGACCTCCGGCTGCACATGATTGCACCAAAAGATGAAGCGAACTCGCATCGGAAAGGCTTGTCACCCCGCGATCTGCGCCTCGTCCACGATGTCTGCAGAGTCTGATGCCACAAAAAGCCTTTCTGAAGCATCTGCTTTGATGCCATGACACAAGCACACCTGGCACCTGGTGCCATCCGGTGCCTGCAGACTTCTGCCCTGCAGAGCTGCAGCTCCTCGGCCGCACGCAGGACCTGCCGAACCGAAGGGTCGCTTAAGGAAAAAGTCTGCGGACGTCTGGACGCGCCTCGGAGACGTAGTCCTCGACCGCATGATATCTGTTGAAAGGGTTCGTCACCTAAAGTTGCATCAGCCGCAAAGACTCAAGCGCTGGCTGGGCGCCGCTTGGCCTTGTCTCCGCGGCGAACATGCAAGGCCAGCAGGGACGATGGAACCCCTGCCGAGCGGTAGCAGCTGGGCCCCGAAATCGCAACTCTTCGGAGCAGCGCACCTTCCTGACCCTGCTGCAATTGCATCCTCAGCACTGCAGCACTGGGACCAAAGCGGGAGCAAGGCATACATTCACGTTCTGCGGGCTCGGCTGAAAGCGCTCGAAGAATTCCAAAATCAATCTGCTGGGCTGCCAGAGTGCCGCCTGCAACGGGTCATCGCAGGCACAGCCGAGACACTTTCGCGGACGTTGCACTCCCACCTGCATCGAGCCTGCAGACAGCATCCTGATTCTGGATTGCCGGGCAGCGGTCCCGGGCGAAAGCCGAAAGCGAAAGCTTCCGCTGCCTGGCATCTCCTGCCGACGGCGGCGCGGCGCGTCTCACTTCATGGCGCCAGCCCGTCTCTGGAACACACCGAGCTGCAGCGCCGACCTTGAACAAGCACGCCCAGCCACCCTGACGAAACTGCACCTCTGGACACCGGCAACACCGGCAACATGACCCTTCTGTTTCAGTCGGTCAGGTGATTATATGGTCATGCGGACCCGCAAGCGTGCTGAGCCCAGTCAGATTTGTGAGATGCAAAGCACGAAGGAGGCCTCACCAAGAAATGCCAGGCCTGGGGATTGCAAGATCTCACGTGAAACCGCTCAAACTCATCAAGTCTAGGTCAAGGCCGAAGCATTTCGAGTTGTTGGTGTATCTTCCCATATGCCCGACGAATTCTGCACGTTTGCCAAAGTGCATCGCCTTGACCTCAGCCAGCTACGTAGGGAGAACAGCTGGGGATTTCCGCCGAATTCCTGTCTCGCAGAATACGGCTGCAGTTGCATTCACACTGCATGCGAAGCGGCGGCTCTTGCCACGGTCATCTGCAGCTTAGAGCCGAAGCCACCTCCAATACCGATTGAAACCGCGCGTACCTCCGAAACGGATTTTCGATTTCTCACATCCTCTCACTCTCAGCTTCTCGGCGGAACCTGCCCGGGAGATCTCGGCGAGGTTCTGAGAAGATGCCTGCAAGGCAGGAAATCCTTGCTGGGGATGGCAAAATGGTTCGCACAGAGTGCATGGCCGGATGCGTGCATCTTTCAGATTTGAAGCCAGGCTTCCCTTGGCCGAACCCGAACTGCTGGCCTCCCAAAAATCTCGGATCTACTCGCACCTGAAGAACTAAAGATTGTAGCCTCTTCGCCCTCGCCATCGGCACAGCAGGTGCTCGGAGATGTGCAGGACAATGATGCTTCCTTCCGGCACGGATACAGCACGGCTCGGCATCAGTGACGGAGGCCGGCTTCAATTAGCAGGCTGAGTCGCAGGCACACCAATCTTCATCTTCCGGGCAGCCGCAACCTCTCGCTGAAAAGGTGTTACAGGTCGCAAAGAAAACCTTCTTGCCTGGCAAGGGGGGCGGCTCTTTCCGGAAGCCCTTCGCGATGGACAAGAGAGTCTCCTCGCCGCGGCCCAGGCGGCCCAGCGGCCCAGCCGACGGAAAGGCCACACGCTTTGGGGCTCGGGCCTGCTGCCAGTGTTCCAAATGTAATCTGCCTGGGCCTCACGGCTCCGAAAGCAGGCTCCCAGCTAAAATACCACGGCTGCAATGAGCTCAGGGCGACGCCGTCGAGGCGAAAGCGCTCCCATGTTCCGGGGCGGTGGATGCCAAGCAACTTGTGACCTCAACTGACGGTACACAGCAGAAGATTGTCCTCAGCATGTCTGAGGAGCCAAAGCAGGAATCGGCGACAGTGATCAATGCAGTGATGCTCCTATGAGGAGAAAGCATCCAAAGTGTGCCGAGAAACTGAACCTTCCAGCTTCGACAGCCTGAGATCTCGGGTCAGTTTGCATCCCATGCGTCACTTGTGCCGGCCCCGGTGGCCTCCGCCCGGCCTGGAGGATGCTCGTCGCCGGGCCGTCAGCATTTGTTGCTCGCACCTACTCAGCTTGGCTCCGCGACTCCGCTTCAAGCTGCTTCTGCCACTCCGCCATCCGCCTCTCCCTTCTCAGAAACCTCGTAGGTGGTGCGAAAGCCATTGTGATAGAAGATGTCCTGGCCACTTCGGGCGGACAGCGGCGGGCAAGCACAGCGGTCAAAGAGCACAGCGAACAAAGCAGTCAACGCGGTCCCACGTCCCGGCAACATCTGCAAATTCTGCATGTGCAGAGTACCAGTGGCCCGCTGCCCGCATAGCCCTGACCTTCCCATGAACCGAAGTCAACTTGAAGCGTGAAGAACTGTTCGGCCTGTGACGCTCCTGTAAACTGCTCGTAGCTGGCCACAGCAGCCACGTGGAAGGAGACGTTGATCTCAGATCCGACGCACTGACATGCACTGCATGCGAATTCGGAGAAAACTCCCTCAACCTGAGTCGCCGTCGCCAGCATTGGCGCCGAGCTTCAATACCATATGGAATGTGACGGATTCCTACTGACGGAACGACAACGGCTACTGGGCAAACTCCGCTGCCTGCCTCCGCCAGGCTACCCAAACCCAGAAGAGAGGACTTCTCCATGCAGTCGCCGACCTCTTGAGATTGGAACTTCAGAAGCAACGATGCCACGAAGTCTACACTACGACTAGCCTCCCCCAGCAGTGCTAGTAGGCTTGGCACGGGCTTCCTGCAAATCGGGGATGGCTGCACCGAGAGCCCCCATTTCGCTCCGACGTGCTATTAAGGACGGGGCAACCACACCGCCGCCAGCGTCTTGCTTGGCGCAGGCCAGCCGAAGACATTGCACAGCTCGTCCCTTTCTCGCCGACTTCCAACGACCACGACATCTGAGCCCATGCTCCAGCCTCAATCACACAAGATGACATGGAGATACATGGAGATAGTGATGTGTGTCGAATGGACCACCGATGTCGGCAGGGGATTTAACCGCCAAATTGACATGGCGGAAACTGTTGTAAAAAAATCACGAACCTCTAGAACGTCGAACCACGTGACCCGAACAGCGGACCTCCAAGACCCGCAGCCTGCAAGACCCAAAAGCACTGCGGCGGCGTCTTGCTGCACTGTTGAAAGCCCGTTTGAGGCTCCTGCGCCCCTGTAGCGGCTGTAGTAGCACAGTGTCCAAAGCCAGATAGAAAAATCTCCAGCTTGGCAAGGCCTAGAATCGGCAGATGCGGAGAGGATAGACCCCGAACATGGCCACTTTGACTCTCCAAAAAGCCTTGAGAAGCCGCACCAGCAGCCAAGAACGAGTCCTTGAGCCGCTCTCGCCTGAGCGCAAGTGTGGTGTGACAGTGTCTAGACTGAAGAAATGTTTAGCCTGCAGGGGCGGCCAAGCCCGCCAGCTCGCCGGGCTTCTGATCCTCTCAGATGAACTGAGCTAAGGCTGAGCCCTCAAGCTATCAAGCTGAGTTTCTTTCCAGCCTTGCATAGGCCTGCGAAGGCTGCACGATGTCCGCCTCTATGGAAGGCGACGTCGAAGCTTTGGAGGCTGTGTAGGCTGTAAAACCAAGGCTCCTGCTGACGGCCACATGAGCTGCACCCAGCCGCCTTGCGCACATGCGCAAAAAGTCTCACACGAAGCATCACGAAGCCCGAAGCCTCAAGTGCCGCACCTGACATGGCATCTCCAGCTGCGATACAGCGCCAGATCGCGCAGATTCAGAACAACGGTTGCCTTTCATGAACAGACGCCGTCGGGTTCTCTCAACGAGGCACATCCTGAGCTGCTGGCAAGCACTGTCCGTCTTGGGAGACCCAGACCTCGGGTGGGGAGCTACAGGGATCTGATGTGCTCTGATCCCTGGCCCTAGCATTTGCCGTGCTGGTGCTGTGGCCTACCGCGCCTGTCACATTTGGCAGGGCACTGCCTCGCACGAACATACAGCTGCGGCAGCTGCATAAAGCCACCAAAGAGAAGCGTGGCCTGGTCGAGGACCACACCATTGCATGTCCCATCTGCCTTGGTTAAGCTTCAAACTTCTTGCTCTGCGAGTCTGCCGATCACTCAGGCCGGAGCACTTCTTGCTCCACGGGCGTTACATGAGAGCTCACTCTGCCCACGAGCCAGTGCTCGAAGCTCGCGGTCACGACTTGAGCCCAGACGCGGTCTGGGTCGGAGAATCGGGCAATGAGCAATGATCCCCCATGCACTCTAGCGGACGGCTTGCTATATGATGGTATCATGCCAAAAACGCTCTGCCAAGCACGGCTGAGCCGTCCTGGGGATTGTCGGATAACTCCTGTTGGCAGGGCTACGCGGCTACGCTTGCAGGCCAGAGCTTCCGAACTAAGGCGCCTGCTACGGGCTCCTCAAGCTCACCGTCGAACTGGTCCATGATGTGGTCCTGCATTGCAAACGCTTCGACCACATTGCAAGCGCTCTCGGTGAGTTGGGCTGCCTCCGTCATGGACTCAGCACGCTGGAGCAGACTTTGGAGGAGAACCTTTTGGCAGACGAAGTTGCCGAAGCCGGAATGGAATCCGTTATAGGCAACAACCATCAGCCAACATCAGCCAATAGACGCAGACGGGAAAGACAGAAACTAACGACTCCGTGCGTGTGAGTGTGAGAGAGGAGGGGGAGGATGGGAATCTTGTACCATCTTGTGCTTCTGCTGCCCAAGCTGCCTCGCAAGCAGTGCACTTGAAGTCTGCCGCCATCTTGAGTGCTTCCACACGATCCTCTAGTAGATCACAACGACTCCCCACCACTCTGTTCTAGCAATCTCTCAGGCTCATAGTCCCCGCCCTCAGCTCCTCGTCATCCGGTGGTTTCACAAAGACGTGCTTATACCTCAACCCAATGCCACCAATGCCCACTCACTTCTCCGCAACGGCAGCAACTCGGGCCGAGGCCGAAAGTACTCCCCCTCCTTTGCAAACAAGCGCCACAACTCCACTCTGCACGATTCGGCCTAGCTCGAATTACCTGCGACTGAGCACGGCTCGGATCCGGAGACCTGGTCGCCGGGCTTCACACCCTGAGGATACCTTGCTGCCGCTGACAATCTGCAATGCAAGTTGACGTGGCTCTCCTAAGCTAATCACTGCGTCGGTCGGATGTTGCTGTGAGAGCTGGCTCCATGTGGTAGAGAAAAATCATGGACAGCACAGCCGCTGTGGCTTTTCATGGTTTTTGTCAACGCTGACTGTCCCAACTGCAGCAGGCATGATCATTTCCTGACACTTTCCACCAGATGTCGCTAGCAACTGACCGTCATGCCTGCTGTCACATCGGGTACTCTCGCGTGAAACACGACTAGACGCAATGACACAAATGTGGTGTGTGCCTTCGGCACGTTTCTGCGAATGGCAGAGCGACCTTTTCAAGGACCGCCCTGCGTGTTCATCGCTGATTCCAGTGGCACAGTTACATTTCAGCCGGATACCTCGCTTTGCACCTCAGGCGATTTTTGACTTGCCGAGAGTGTGACGAAGCCAAGCTCGGAAGCTCAGGCAGCTGCCGAAAGTGACTGCCTCACGTTAACTTCCCGTCTCTGGTTGAAGGCCTTTCAAGGAGACCGAGGGTCCGAGGGTGCTCACTCAGAGGAGCCAGGCACCTTGAAGCGACCAGTGACCTTGAAGGCTTCAAGGAGACCCCGCTCACTTCAGCGCGCAGGCTGTTTTTTCTGCTCTTTTGCGCTTCTGGGCACACGGCTTTGGCTATGCGCGCGTCGAACTTCTCGATTTCCTCCGCGGATGCACTTGACCTTAGATATGAGATCGGGGATCACAAGATTGAGGCTGCCAACCATAAGGTCGTCCATCACTTGGCCACCGACGCCTGTTTCCAGATCTCAGCCCAATTTTGCGTGTTGGTACCTGGCTCAAAGCAAAGAGGCTCCGGCTGCTTTGGAGTTGTGAATGCTGCTGATATTGGTCAGTCGCGTGCTGAGATTCGCAGGCAGGAACGAAAGTCCCGGGAATATCATGGCCTTGGATGTGTCATCATGGCGCCGCTTCCGCGGGGTTGTCATGGCTGAGGAACGGGCCATCTGCTCCGCGAGAGGTGCGATTACGAACTCGATGAAGCCCACCTTGCCAGATGGTGATGTCTGCAATGGATGCTTCCGTGAGAAGGTAATACGATCGACTATAAGACGACTGAAGGGTGCTGTCGGTTGAGCCTGTGAGTTTGGTCGATTAACCTTCTCGCGATCGTTGAGCATCTGCACCGGGATACCAAGCTCCTGCCGGCGGTGGCGGCCTATGGTCCTAACGCGTCCCGCAAACCCAAGCAAGGGTAGGTCTGTCGGCCTTCTCCTTGTCTCCCTGGGCGAAGAACTCTTCCAAGCAAAGGTCAGCCAGATGCTCGCAGATGGCCTCAGAGCTCGACTCTCACGCCACGCTTGCGGCTTGCTTAAAACACAGGTGCTCGGTCACGGCCGCCAAGGCCATGACCCAAGGCTTCATCGGGTTGGAGATATCTGCTGTGTGAAGCCTTGCTCGGACAATCGCTCCGTAGCCGAGGCCGGAAGTTCTGAGCCCACGACAGTGCTGACAAGACCTGCCCAGGGCAGGCTCTGCTTCCAACAGTAGCATTGCACCTTCGATGTCAGTCTCTCAAAAAAACTTTGATGGCTCAGAGCTCCCTGCCCCTGCCCCTGCCCCTTGCCCTGCCCCTTACCCTGCTCCTGCCTTTTTGCGGCTCTGCCCCTCTGCCATGCCCCTCCCTGCCCTCCTGCCCACACCCTTCCTCTCCTGCCTGCCTGCCCCTGCCCCCTGCCCCCTGCCCCTGCCTGCTACCCCTGCCCGCCTGCCAGATACGGGAGAGACCCGCTTGAGTTAAAATTGAAGGGTGTTGGCTGAAAGCCTGCAATTTTGATTGAAACGGCTCTAGAGCCAAGATGAAAACTGAAGGCGGCTGCCTGCCCCATGCAGGGGGGCTGAGTCCAATTTTGGTGCTGGGGCCTTTGGCGAAACCCCTTCATTTTCTCTTGCGGGTTCAACCCCATCTAGCAGGGGCAGGCAGGGGGGAGGGCAGGGGCAGGCAGGGAGCACGAGCAGGGGGGTTGCAGGGGCGCAGGGGCAGGAGCAGGCACTTGCTTTTGGAGAAATCAGGACGCTGATCAGATGGAGCGTCCCGCCATCAATTCTCATGTGGCCGCTTCACGCTTCTGTGTTTTCGCCTAGTCTAACTGGAATGGGTTAGGTTTTTGGAGAGAAACGAGGGAATTCTATGTTTCCGCCTAGTCTATAACTGGAATAGACTAGGCGTTTGGAGCGAAACGACTAGGTTTTTGGTGAGAAACGATGGAATTCCGTGTTTTCGCCCAGTCTAACTGAATCAAAATTGCTGTCAACCGAAATTCGACTAGGCTTTTGGAGTGCTGGATTTCGCGCCAACATCCGAATCAAATTTGCGGTTGGGTTTGGGTGTGAGGGGTGAGGGGCTGGGGTGTTGGTTGGGGCAGGTGGGGTGGGTGGGGCTGGGATGGAGGTGTTTGTGAAACTGCTACAGAAACAAACGTTTAAGGTTTCAAAGGAATTACAAAAACAACTAGGTTCGCGCTTAGCTGCAAACCAAGATTACTTTGTAGCCACACGCCTCGACCTGTTTCCGCCCAAAGTAGTAGTCTATTTCGACCTGGTCCCGCCCAAAGTAGTAGTCTATTCCCCTCCGTGCTGCAATCTAGACTGGAAGAAGTCATAGACCAACCAAAACTCGAAACGCCGAGTCATTGTACTAACAGTGTCAGTTAAGGTACAATTGTTGAAGTCAGTTATCTGGCCACACCGATTCGAGCCCATGGTATTGAAAACGGAGTTGAGAGTTGGGAGGCCCTCTGAAGCCCCGATGCAATCCGCCTTCAAGCGGCTTTTCGAGTCCTCTTGCAATGCCTGGCTCAGCCTCGGCACGGGCATCATTCTGTCAGATGTTGAGACCCATGTGTAGGTATGTAAGTACATCGGACCACCGAGCACCGCCTGAGTCGGCAGCACAGGCCCATGCAGCAAGTACGCGCAGAAACATGCAGAAACCCATGTACATCTCAATCTCCATGTGTTGTCGATTGCGAATGAAAACGTACGCGTGCGCGTGTGTACATACGCAGAGACAAACATAGCAGGATACAGACATACATACACAAGTACTTACATGCATGCATGCATGCATGCATTCATGCATGCATGCGTCCATACATGCGTGCATACCCTCGTTAAGCATGTACGCACATACTTGCATCCACACATACCTGCAGCAGGCATGCTGAATCTCACATGCGTGCATGTGCGTGTCTTGTTTGCGTTCATGTGTGTGCGCGAGTATAGCATATGGTAATACCGTATAACCGGTTTGTGTACATACATCTAACTTTATTACATTGCGTTTTAGTATCTTGCTTCGAACTATGTGACATGATACTGTAATGTATGTATGTACACCTACATATACTGTGTGTATCTGTATACTGTATTTATATGTGCATATATATATATATATATTCCAAAAACATAATACATACATATACATATACATATACATATACATATACATATACATATACATATACATATACATATATCAGTTACTACGATCGCAGACGCTCGGTACCCTCACTGAACAGACAATCGGCGATCGCACCTTTTTCATGCGACCGCAACGTGGGAGTCGGCCACAAGTCGGATCATCAAAATTTCACTTGATCTTCACAAGTCCGATCGGACCCCCGATCACCGAGGGGTGCGCCATGGCATTCACCACAGACCGCAACATCATCCGATCGGACACATCAGACAAGCGATATTCCCCCGCGAAGAAAATCAAAAGTCTTCGATCAGATCCTCGGGCTCGGGTGAAGGCTCTTCGATCGGGTCGTCATCGAGAGGAGCCGCACCGAGCAGATCGATCATCTGCCGCTCGGCCACCCGAAAGGCTTCAGAAGAGGCAGCTTTGGCCGTGGCGCGAGCAGGAGCCGCGCGACCAGCTTTGTACGCCGCGATCTGGGCGAGTCGAACTTCTCGTAGGCACCATGACCTCGGTACCGCAAGGGAGCTCCGCATTGGGCGGCAGTAGATCGAGCCGCCGAGGTGACTGCCCGGGAACCACGTAGTAAGCAGGACCTGCGATCTGCACATCAGGCGGCACTTCATCGAGCGACCTGGGAGGCTGTCCTGGAACCACGTACTGAGCAGGCTCGGCGAACATCGGTCTTAGCTCAGCTGGGGGCGCGCGAGCTTGACGAGGCGCTCCAGCTTTGGGATCCACATAAAGGATCGGCTGATCGTAACCTCTATTCGGAGCAGCCTTAGCCGGCGGAGCCTTTGGCCGCGGCCGCTGAAAAGGAGGCCGACCGGCGATCTGATCCCAGTTCAGGGGAGGATCCGCCCCGTGATCGAATCCGGCCGGCTGGTGACGATCGCGATCACGATGAGCCGGCGGAGGCACCCAGGGGGTCCTTCTGCAGAAATGGCACATATCAAAGCGACGATCGCAAGCCGTGCACAAAGGAGTGCGTTGATTGGGAGCCCACACTTCGCGGGGGACCCGAACGGCTGCGTAACATTCGTCGCTGCCGTCCCCGTCGCAGAAGCAGCCGGTGAACAGGCCGCAATCTACGCAGGGACGGCAGAGCTGCTCTGTTGCGCCAAAAGCGAGCGCTTGAAGGCCAACGTCACCGCGAGGATCCCGCATACCGAAAAGAACAGATAGGGCGGAGAGGGTGGGATTTTTCGGTATGGCCCGATCGGCTATCGCCAAAATGGCCACGGAAAAGAGAAATCACGTCTGTTCCAACGATCGCGAAACTGATCTCCTAATTCCTACCCACCAGACCGATAATTAGGAGACCAGTTACTACGATCGCAGACGCTCGGTACCCTCACTGAACAGACGATCGGCGATCGCACCTTTTTCATGCGACCGCAACGTGGGAGTCGGCCACAAGTCGGATCATCAAAATTTCACTTGATCTTCACAAGTCCGATCGGACCCCCGATCACCGAGGGGTGCGCCATGGCATTCACCACAGACCGCAACATCATCCGATCGGACACATCAGACAAGCGATATTCCCAGGCCCTCAAACTCCTTTCGGAAAGTCCGAGAGGACAGTGATCCAACCGCACATCAGACCTGTAGCGACATCACCACGAGAGGGGTTATCCGCAGGGTTCGAATCGGTCGGTACCCGATCGATATAAACTGAGCACCTAAGCTCCAGAACAAGCTCCCAGAAAATTCCTACGAGCTCGCAGACGTCCTCTTTGGCAGAGTAGCCTTTGATCAAAGCTGCCTCCACAGGCTCAGAATCGATAAAGAGGAGGACCAGCTTTCCACGGATCTCTTCCTTGAAAGTCTGTATCGCAGCGACCGCGGCTAAAAGTTCGATCATGCAAATCTGGGTATTCCGGGGGAACCATCTCGACATGATCTGTCGTGACACCCCCGAGGCGAATTGCCTAGGCTGATCGTCCCTAGTGAACATCACCCCTCCAATCATCTCAGAAGAGGGATCCTTGGGGTTCGAGCTCGGCGCCGACCCATCCGTGAAGATCACCACGTCGGACTTCCGCGGCCCTGAACTGGGGATAGGCCTCGGGGGCCCATGCATCACGAGCGTCCGCCACTTGTAGAGGGAGTAGAGGAGAGCAGGCGACAGGCTCGTGCTGACCGTCTTCCGAGAGTATTGCCGCTCCGACAGAGATCTCAGAAAGCTCGGCCGATCTTTCCCCAGAGCTGAGAGGCGCCGAACATTAGCTTCCCTCTGAGCTTCCCGGCTTGGCCAGGAGACAGCTCTTCGTGTTCCAGAATCGCCGAGATCTCGTCGAAGAGCTCCTGCTTCCTGGACTTCTTAATCTTGAGCAAGTACTGATCGAGGTCGTAGGTCACGCCCAAGATCGTGGGACACCAATGGACCTTTTCGGCAAGCGCGGACGCACTATCTGCCGTGGCCTCCGGCTCGAAGCCGTACTTGTCGTCGTAGAAGTTGAAGCCAGCCACGATGAACACGCGCCTTAGAATGTCGGTAATCGCAGCCGGGCGGCGGTTGTAATTATATACGGCCGAGACCAAGCCGAAGGAGTGCCCGACCATCACAAAGAAAGCCACCTTTCCCGTGGCCGGATCCTTCAGAGCGACCACACTCCACTTGCGATGGGCCGGGGAGATCGGTACCTGCCGATAGGCCCGCCGCTCGTCCAGAACCCAACCACGTAGCGGGGACTTCGGTAGCCGCGAACGCAGCCACTTGATCACCGCCACGTTCGCGTCCGTCGAGGGGAGTTCGAGTTTCTCGGTGACGATCGTCGCCATGTTGATCCCATTTGAAGTAGCACTATCAACTCCCCTGACTTTGTTCTTTTGGACCACTTCAAAGCGCTGAGTAGGGATCCAGTGATCATCGCCCACAAGCTCCGAGACTTCGGCTTCGTCGAAGAAGGGACCGATCGCCGACCCTTCTCGAACATCT